CTAAGTGTGTGTTGACAGGTCAGCTCAGTCTTTGACTCATCTCCAAACTGACCAGGAGCTCCAGCTCATTAAATATTATTGTCCTCCAGATCCGTCCACGTCCTCCAATAGCTCAAGTGGAGTCATAAGGTACATTATTTTGCTGTAGTTGAAACATTTTCAAGTCATACAGATGTGTCTTCACTCAAGTTGTACTGCCCAGGGCTAGTTTGCATCCAGATGTGTCCTTGCTCTGCCTTTGCATGCAATCAGTCCACATTTACAATTTGCTGCACAACTGTGCAGTGTGTGAAAAGTGTAATAATCTCAGGAAATACGTGTTACCAGATATAGACAGGTTTTGGTCATGTTAGGTAGTGAGCGTTAAAGATATTGGTTGGTGTGCTTTTGAAATAGGGAGAGCAAGGCTACCTGTTTCCCCCTGTTTCCATTCATTAGGCTAAGCTAGCTCCAGCTCCATACTTAACACACAGACATACAGGTACATTTCAAATTGATGAACTATTCTGTTAAGGCAAATTTAAATCACTTGACGTTAAATAAAAAACGATGTTTGTAGCATCCACCCAGGGTGCAGGTTTTATCTGGTTTCTCTACAGCGCGTCTCCCTTCTTTCTGTCCAGGATTTAAATTAGCTCCTGGGGATATTTTTAGTGGCTCTCTCGACGATTTAATTAGGTTTACAAATGATAATTTTTAACCACCATGTCTACCGTGGACCGTGGCAGCACAATAAACACAATCAGACATTCCCCCTGCAGAATTGCATTAGGGGTTTGGCACTGCCAGAGAGCAGGGCTGGAAAATGTCGAGCTAGCTGGCATCAAGGAGCTCCTGTTACCAGTAAAGGGGGAAAACTCCCAGAACTCTGCCAATCCAAAGCACACACACACACACACACACAGTCACATGCAAACTCCCAATTACACTCCCATTCCTGTAGAGGTGGTTTTTAAACCTTGTCAACGCAAAGATGTAGCAGTAGGCGTGGCTTTTTAGTAAACTGTTGGGTGGCTGCCTTCCCACAAGTCAGGGCAACAAAACAGCCGTCAATGGTGGATGCAAATGGACAGAAAAGGGTAAAGAGAACATGGAAGATATCTGACATGGATCCTCCCTTTTACCCAGATATTTCAGGTCTTAATCTTTTCTGATTCTAATAACGGGTCTGAGTTTGTTCTTAAATAAAAGGACGCAGTGGGGTAGAGGTTTGAGCATCGTGAGCATGGAAAAATGTTCTAATGCTCCTTTTTTCCCTTCTCTAGTATTGGATTATGCTCTGATTCTGGAAAAGTCCTGCAGAATTATGATGATTTCATTTCACGGGAACGTTGTGTTGTAATAAATTCTGCCTTTGTCTCTCTCTGCGTGACCTCTGGATGAGCTGCTGCGGCCGGCATCTCTTCTCCAGCGCTCGTCGAGTCCAGATTGGCTTTCAGTTTTCAATGTAGGGGATGCACTCCCTCTGCCGTTTTGGCCAAAAAACCATCAGTCGTGTGTGTGTGTGTGTGTGTGTGTGTGAGAGAGAGAGAGAGAGACAGAGTGTGTCCAATTCAATCACTGATCACCTCTTACAACATGTGTCCAAAAGCAGATAACAACCCAGAAATGTCATCTGGTTTGATTTTTGGAAGAATTATTGTGGTTTTGTGTTTTTAAAACTTTGTCAGACTGCAATTGTTCGAAAGTGTTGTCACGAGCAATATATGTTTGGTTCATTCTCTCCTTTTGATTATTGGTTATTGACAAATAGCTCTGTCAAATGTGTTCATTAGTCATCCAATGTTGCTGTGGATGTTTGTGGCCAGAAGTATGTGGACACTCATTGCAGCTGTAGGTGCTCGCAGTTGCTGTTCCAGTTTATCTAGTTCATCCCAAAGGTGTTGGAGGGGTCGAGGTCACATAGTCGTCCACATAGTTTTGTGTTTAAAATGCACATGATGAAGTAGTGCCCACACAAAATTAACAGTTTGCAAATTTAAAATCAAGTACAAATTCCGACAACAATGGTGCTGACACCATCGATTAGTCAGCTGATTTTAATTTTTTAGGATTGATTACTCGTTTAAGTCATTTCTCAACAACGATGTCAAGAAGCTTTCTTTAGTTCCAGCGTCTCAGTTGCTGTTTTGTTCTTTTTTGTCGTCGTAAAGTTGGTTTAGGACAGTTGGTCGGACAAAAAATGTTTGTAGGCGTCACCGTGGGTTCTGGGAGGTTGTGAATTTTCACAATGACATTTAGACTCAAACAATTAAAGAATAAAGGAAAGTGGAAAGATTTATCTATAATTTAATTAGTAATTAGTTTAAGCCCTTAACTAAATGTGATAGCAACATAAATTTTCTTCTTTACAAATGCCAGCGGTCCGGATAGCGCGTTCCCCTCACAGCAAGAAGGTCGTGGGTTCAAACCCCGGTTGCCCCGGCCTTTCTGTGTGGAGTTTGCATGTTCTCCTCGTGTCTGCGTGGGTTCTCTCCGGGTGGTCCGCCTTCCTCCCACCGTCCAAAGACATGCAGACTAGGTTGATTGGTGACCCTAAATTGTCCTTAGATGTGAGGGTGACTGGTTGTTTGTCTATGTGTGGCCCTGCGATGGACTGGCGACCTGTCCAGGGTGTACCCAGCCTTTCGCCTGATGTCAACTGGGATTGGCTCCAGCCCACAGCAACCCTGCACACAGGATAAGCAGTTTACAATGGATGGATGAATGGATGGATGGAAAGTAAATCGACACTAAATCTACTTTTTTTTAAGTTGGCAAATTATATGTAAAATCACTGTATTATTCTATCAAGTGGTCTTGGTTCTAGTCTTTAGTATTTAGAGCAACACCAGTTCTTTGGCTTCAAAAAATGGTTTTCTGAATGCATTTTCTGAATATACTGTAATAAGTTGGTGTGCTCAAGCTAAAACTTGGTTACGTTGCTTTAAAGATGTTTCACACAGTGCTGATTTCACACCCAATTCCCTCTGTTTTTACTGTGTGAAGGCTTCAGTGTAGCAGTTATTATCAGATCCAAATCCACACTTTTTGCTCCCACATCCTACGACCCATCGTTTGCCTATTCAGATTTTTGAAAATGCTAAAATTGCTGGCAACAAATGAGACTAAGACGAAATTAAATATAAGGGAAGTGACAGCTATATCTTTGCTTTATTGACGTGGGCCCTATGAGAAACACATGTGTGGTTATTTTACACAGATCTGCAGTCATAATTTTGTGGTCCAGTTTTACACAAAATGAGGTTTTAGAGGAAACACTAAGAAATTAGTGTTAAATATAGTCCATTAGGGACCCATGGAGCTCTTAATCCAGTGTGAGTGTATGTTTGTGTCTTGAATTTTCTATCTGCTTATATTTTCTCGTCTATCTGAGTATAGCTGTCATGTGCAGAATGTGAATACAACATGTGTTCCTGCATTCAGCCATATGCTCGTGTGTAATTCTAATCTGCAGTCAGTCAGCCTCATACTGTTTGCCAGCACATTGGACGGCCCTTGTGTGATCAGCATCTCCCAGCGCAACATTCCTCAGTGACAGCCGCGGGCAACGGCTTCTTTAAATAGCCTCTGGATAGCTGCCTTTCTCTCTGAGATCTGCAGAGATGTTGGAATTCCCTGAGCTCAGGTAGAGCGTTAGCGCCTCCTTGTGGCCAGAGACTGATTTCTCCCATGAGCTGTTTACAAACATGGACCATACCTTGGCGTTTTGAGCACTCTTATTGCATGGAATTGGCTTTTTTCTGCCAGGGTGAGGTGGATCAGGAGGGTTCTGGATGGAGTAAACTTACATGGAAGGTGTTTGTAACTTTCAGAAGTTCAAATTCTTCTTCTTTTCTGTTTCCTGTAGTTCATGTAGTTTTGGTCATTTGCAGTCAATACGACTAATTTTAACCGAGACATCGAATGCAAATCAAAGCTTTTCTGAGACATTGCCATCCCACCGTTCCTTGCTCCAACAATATGATGCGTAATGCAGATGCACATGTTTTGTTTTTTAGTTTAAGCTGATTTTTCTTTTGTAACGTTGTTCCTGTCTTCTGAATTCCCTATCCCATCTTTTCTCGACTATATGAGAGATTTTCCATGAAGGATCTGCTTTTTCACTGGCTGTAATTCTTATCGATCGCTCCACTGGTACCTCTGTTTGTTAGGGTATTTTGAACAGCTTGCTTCACATTCATGTTAATCAGTCCAGTTCACTGATCTGTATCAGTACAACTTGTTCCTGTCATTGTTGTTGGAGGGCATACGCTTCAGTTAAAAGTCATAAACCACATTGTTGTTGAATACAGGTTCTGCAGTGCCCAACCATTCACTACCTATGAAGTTTTTGCAGCTGGGTAACACCACTCTTTAGCCGCCTTTGCTTTAGGGAGACAACTGTCATTTTTTGCAAGACGAGCAGAGGTTTTCTTAATTTTTCTCTCTAACAAATGACCTATGCTGTAGTCCACCACCCTAATTAAACAAAGGTCAGATGGAAGGAAAACACACTGATCAAGTCTCCCACACATTCACAAGTCTGAATGTTACAGCAGCTCAGCACTTGTGCCTGTTATCAACACACACACACAGACAGACACACACTCTCGCTCTACTGTCTCAGATTCTTGGCATGACTCCTGAGGGTAAAAAAGGAAACATCCCCTTGCCCCCTCTCCCCTCCCATATCCCCTGTTGCCAGCCTGTGGGCCATCCCCGACCCTCCTGTGACAAATCCAAACTGAGAGGAGCTCATGTCAACTTTATGTTTTGACCACGACTGTGTTCTTGTTCCTGCCTGTTGATGTGTGACGGCAGGACCGAGCACAGACCTGATCTCTTTTCCCTATTGTCTGGATAGCTTGATTCTTTAGTCAGGACAGCTCTGATTCTCTTCAGCCCTGTCTTTTCACATATTATGCCGTACTAAATGGGGGGCTGCGATGCCCCCTACAGAGGAGCCACCTGTCATCATGTCTAACTCTGCTTTCCGCGGTTGCCGCACTATCTCGCAGCACCTGAACGACCTGAAGAAGGAGAACTTCAGCCTGAAGCTCAGGATCTACTTCCTGGAGGAGAAGATCCAGCAGAAGTTTGAGGAGAGCAGCGATGATGTGCACAAGAGGGTGAGTGAAAAAATTCATCTGTGAATGAAAGGACTGATGATGCAATGCATGCAGGGAATCATTCAAAATCCTCTGTGTCTGCATGCACTATGAAAGTGAGAGCTGCAGGTTTGTACTGACAGTTATTAGTACTGACAGCAGGTCTCAGGCTGCTCAGCAACAGTTCATACAGTCTGCCAGTCAGAAGTTTTTGCATTTGAGGATGACTGGGACTCAGAGGCTGCAAGCTACAGTTTGTCTCAAAACTTTCAAAGTCTCTCAGCCGCTGTGAACTCTGTGGTTTCCTCCACTGAGCTCGGAAAGTGTCTGGAGTATTTTTATTTATGAGTCTGTGAGAATTAAAGTAACAATTCACTGTCACAGTATTTACATCTACTGTGACAGTGAATAGAGAGCAGGATGATGGTGAGCCCGTTTAGATAGACACCTTCTTTAAGATGCAAAGCCTCTGATTTCAGCCGTGTTTAATATAGCAGGTAGATGAATTTGGCCAGTGGACAGAGGAGAGGGCTGTCAGAGGCCCGCTACAGGCTACAGTCTAAGAGTGAAGCTGTGGTAAACCAAAAGATGTTCAAGATGTTTTTAATCATGCAAATATATTCCATCACAGGCTACCAGTACAGCACAGGTTCACCTTTGTGTACTGTAAGCATCTATTTATTAGAACATGTATTCTCATATTACAGTAATCTGGCTCTTAGTGACAAATTTTAGTACAGTTTTTATGAAAAGAAAATCACATTTCAGACATTTGAAAGCTGTTTTGTATGATCTCATTCTGAGCTGTACTTGACACAGAGGACCCTTTTTACTGTAAACAGTGCTTCACACTGTTTCCTTCCAGAAGGAAACATGGCACCTCTGAAATGCACGAGGACATTAAACCTGGATGAAGAACAGTTGAAACTCCTCCTCCTGAATAATCTGAGTTTTCAAGGAAAATTGAAAACACATCAAACAATGCGCTTTGCCTGTTAGAACAGATGAAGGGCACAAACAGTATATCTAAGAGACCCACATGTGAGAGAATGGTTGTTTTAACTGCCCCTGCACTGTCTGTCTTTTCCTGTCGGCCACTATAGACCCAGTGACCCACATCATGTTAGCCTGAGAGCCCTCAGGCCTGCTGTTTGCATGCATGCCTGCACACTGTGCATGCCCTCTACTAGTTTAATTTCATGTGCGCACGCTGCATGAGTGTATACATGTTGCATGCGAGTATGGTAGAAGCAGCAACACCTGTGTTGTGTGTCAGCACGTCAGTAATCGGACCTTCACTACAGGAGCAGATGGGTGTACAGAAAAGTAAATCACCACTGCAGGCAGATAAACTGCACGTGAGAGACCGGACGGCCAGTTCAGTCCAGTTTGTTGCTGCGTTCAGAGCCAAAAGTTAAAAGTGGAGGTGTTGCTGGGTGCAGTGGGGGAGGAGGAGGGAGGGGAGAGTGGTGGATATTACATTGGGGCCATGGGGGGACTGCAAAGGAGACAGATACAGCAGGTGCTCATATCCCTACCAGCTATTTATAGTCCTACAGAGCTCCCTGATATACAGGTCAGCACGTGCAACCTAGGAAGCTCATTTTGTGTCTCTCTGCATTACTGAACTCCTTAGAGTGAATTATTATGCTAATACCAAGCCAATGTATCTGAAAGCTTGACAGTATAGCCTAAAATCTCTATCATAATTAATCATAATCAATTTATTAATAACCTGCCTGACCTGACCTGCTTGTTCTGATTGAGTAAGTTCTTGCAGAGATTCAGGACTGGACTTGAACTTCTGTTTATGTGTCGCTGCTTGTTGTAGCTATTATCAGTTTAACTGAAATAGATTCAAGCAATTCATTTGTTGGAAATTGTATTAAGAGTGCACCGGGATCATTAGGAGTTTCATAATTATCAAATCATTCAATAGAGTTCATAATTCCTGGAAGGGCACATCCATTTCTTTTTCTCTTGTAAATACCTCCTGAAAACACAACAAGTCATCCCTGACATATTCTCACATTATCGCTATCAAGGTCAAAAGAAACATCATGTGATATTATCAGTGAATGTGTTTTTTACTCCCCACTACTCAACAAAATCTCAAATCTGAAATGGAATCTTCTTTAAAATACATGCAATTTTGACTTAGTATCCCACTGAGACAACCAATCAATGATTACAAATGCATAAAATCATTTAAGATGTATTCTTCTTACATAAAACACTCTTTTGTTTAATGAATCTCTTTTCCAGAACATCGAGCTGAAGGTTGAAGTGGAGAGTTTGAAAAACGAACTTGAGGAGAAACAACAGCTTCTGGACAAAGCGCTGTGAGTATTTGACTGTGTTTCACATTTCTTGACCCTCTCAGTGACCATGATTGTATTAGTTTGAGAATCCCCAGGTCTTGAAACTCCAAATGTATCTAACAAATCACTCACCCAGAGAATATTAAGCCCTCTTGAACAGTCTAAAAAATATATTCACAAGTGGGTTCAAGTATTTTGCTGCTTGTGCTGCACAGATTTGTTGAAATGCCTTTAGAGAAACCTGACAGAGAACTACAAAAACACTCTTTTCATCGCCAGTTTGATTATTTCCCATGAGTCTATCAATACATCAGAGCTTGGGCGCCCACGGGACCCGGCGGCCTCTCATCACACGCGAGCCCGCTGGCCTGTAGACTCACCTAGCTATCACAACACGGACTAAGCTCTGAGGAATGCCATGTATGGACTCGCGCTGAAATGCTTTTGAAGAGGATGAAGTGGCTCTGTGTTCTGGGACAGAGGGGGGGATGAGGGTGAGGAGTCAGAGTGGGGGTGAGGTTTGTTTTGAAGGGGCAGGACATAGAGAGTAAGGCAGTAGTGAGAGGAAAGGGCAGAGGTGTCTTGTGGTTTGTTGCGTAGCTGAGTTGGGAACTATTTGAGCTCTAGCACCTGTCTGCGAGGCAGCTGTCTCTCTTTTAGCGGATCTGTGCTTTAACTCCTCTCTGCTGCAGCCTCACTCACCAAACATCAGGATGATATAAAGTCTATAACCTGTAGAATAAGTTCAGTTCCAATGTTTTTGAAAGTTTAGTGCTGATGTTTTTCTAATACCGTTTTACCGCCAAATCTTAATATTACCTAAGCATGCAGAATGTGTTATTGGTCCAGGTTTTGAGATATCAGAACTCACTAATATCTGACATTGCTGTCAACAGGATCCATTGTGACTGTTTCTTCTGTAGAAATTCTTTTAACGCCACATTACTAATACTTTTAGCGCTACAAATTTTTTGATTTTCATTGTTGTGGATGCAGAAATCTCAAATAAAGATATATCAAATCCTGGGACCATCTGTATGAATAGACACCTTACCTTTCATAAACGTGGGGAACTGATTCTTTAAGGTCAGTTTAGGTTTACATAAGAGACATGAATGTTATGCTCCTTCTTGCACGGTATTATATTAGTGCTGCAGTGTCATCCAATAATGGATTTTAAAGAGGTGGTATTCTGCTTTTTGTCTTTTTTCCCTCTCCTTTATTGAGTTTATACCTTTTTTGTGAATGTAACAGGTTTGCAAAGTTAAAAAGCCCAAAGTCCAGCCCAAAGGGAGTTCCCATCTCCCACAGAAAGCTCTGCTCTGAACTGCCTGAGAACAGCTGGTTTGTAGTCCAGCCGCTTCCCTTTCATCCCTAAATGCACATCATATAACGCTCGCCAATCGGCTACTCCGACACGCCCTCAAAAACACTGAGCTGCGGCACACACCTCTCCTCCCCCTTCCAAACACTAGCTGCCCTCCAGACAGTGAAACTTTAAAGATGAAAGAAACTTTTGTTACAGATTAATAACTCACCTCACTGAAACTCTTGCTCCATGTTGCTAAGCTGGTAAGGGGACCCAGTGATATTTCAGAGGAGACACGCCACTCAATACAACACACAATACGGGAAAGCCCGTAACAGCAAAGATGCCGGTTATCCCGCCCCTCTCGCTTGAAAGCCAAGCTTTTAACAGCCAAAGCGGGAATTGTATTTCAGCCAATCGTGTGGTTCCACTGACATAAGGGTTTATTTTATTTCTACTGCGCATGTGCAGGAGAAAGTATAACCGGTAGAGAAAAACGCTTTTTAAACCTTATTTTGGGGCAAAGTCGTTGAACTTTCTCAGCAATTTTAATCAGATTTTACTGCAGATTCTAGTCATGTAGTTTTTATGTCCTGGCTACCAGTGAAAGTGAAGCTCTCTGGTTCTCTCCCCATTCATTCGGATAGGAGGAGCTGCAGTAATGTGCAGTATGACAAAAATATGGTGTTTTTTGAAAGTTAAACCACGTAAACCTGTCTTGCTACGACCCCTAAATAAGATTTTGAACCTGAAAATGAGCATAATACCACCTCTTTAAGGGACACTGGGCTGTCTATGCAATACGTCATATTTTTACTGGCTCATTAAAGTATGGGGATTTTCCTTATAGAAAATATTTTATTTGTTCTCACTGTGGCAACGCCCACTCAAGTGTTTCTCCATAGCCCTAGTTTGTGCACACAGATGGAATTACGCATGTATGGTAGGGAAAAGATTTTTCTGAAGGTACATTTAGAAACACTGGATTTGGTTTGTTTTGTGTCATTATTTTTCCAGTCATCATGCTAAACCCCGTCTACACTTGTATGTATTACAAGAAATGGAAAGAGAATCAACACACGTGTGGACGCCGTGAAAAACACCATTAGCTCAGTCACACTGTGTAGTCATGCAGCCAGTATACGCATAGTAATTAGTTCAATCAGTCGATTCAGCACTTCACAATCCAAATAATGAAAAGGAGCAAAGATTCCAGCCTTTGAGGAGAGTAAATGCATGTCAGAGTGGAGTTTGGGGTCAGTGCTGAAGCATTTTCTCTTTCTCTCTCTCTCTGCCCCGCTGTTTTATAAATAAACTCTCTGGCCACAGTTTATCACTGGAGCTCTTAGCTAGCGCCTGACTGATAGATGTGATGAGGAAAAGCGGAGTGTGACCTTCTGGCTGTTGAAGTTGCTGAGTGGTGGGGCAGTGACAGACTGGCTTTATCATAAATATCCCAGACAGAGACATTTCCCCTACTGGACTCAAAGTTCACCGTGTTTAAGTCTGCCTTGTTGTTGCCTCTGTTTTCTGTGTCTGCTTATTAGCAGGAGATCTCAAAGTTCTGTGACCAGAAAGTTAAGCAACAGCCGGAAAACGTGGTCTTTTGTAAAACCAGGTGTCTCCACAGTGGTTTATAGCGGAGGTGGGCCACCGCACCTGAACTTCAGACCTCCTCCGCTAACATCATAAGTACTTGAAATAAACATTAATTGCAAGGGGAAGGTGGGGAGGTACCAGCTCACAAATCAAATGCCACATATTGAATAAGTTGTTTAGTCTGTCGTCTACTAATCAAATTGATCATGAGATGAGACGTCAGAATCTGGATGGTTTACAATTCTGAGGAAAAGACTTAGTTTTTTGCCTCTTTAGAATAAAAATTGGATCATTCTTTGGATCAAGATAAATCTGTCACCACGTTGTTTCTACCTCATATTGTGCCGATTCCATCCATTATTCACCACATTTGGTTCTTTACATACTTGGATAAACCTGAAATGTATTTATTATTTTAAATTTTATTCCATTTCATGCCATAATTGGTTCTATCGATCAAACCTAATTAGTATAGCACCTTTCAAACAGGATTGCTCCATTCAGATGTTTTACATATGATATTGAGTTGGTTGCCAGATTCTTCTGGGTGCGGCAGATTTGAAATAAACATATTGTGCAGTTTGAACTAAATTCTGATGACAAATGCACTTTTCCACATTAAGGGATTTGAACAAATGTAATGACAGTCCAGCTATAGGTGGTGCTGCACCAATATGATTAATGGCTGAACTCAGTGCTCCATCTGACTCAGATGAAATGTTGCACCGTTCATCCTTAAACAAAGCCTCAATTTCCTCAAACAGGTCTCTCGGCCTCATTATCCATTTCCATGATCATCTATCATGGTGCAAATTCAACATTCAAGGACATTTTTTATTATTTAAATAATAAAATGCAGGGGATCGTATTGTACAATCATTGTCTTTACATTACATTTATTCATGACTGACGCTTTTATCCAAAGCGACTTACAATTGCTGTATATGTGAGAGGTCGCACGCCTCTGGAGCAACTCGGTCAGGGGTATTCAATTAAAATTCAAAGAGGTCCAGTTAGAGAAAATTTCCCAAAGTAAAGGTCCGGAACATCAGAACGACTAATTTGAGTTATTATCCAGTACTATAATATATAGTTGTGTCAAAATATATTTTAGTCAACAACTAACTGTTGCAACTAACTGTAATATTTCCCAGCTTCACCGGTGTTGTTGCTGGTGAATAGATTTGAAGCGGTTTATAGACATTGAAGTGCAGTACGTTATGACCTTGTGAGACAAGTATTTGAGTCTTTTGGGAAAGACTCCTTCTAATTACACCCTGCTCAAGTGACCAGACATGATTGATTAAATAAACCCATCTGCCTCTGAAGTCAGCTGTTGAATACATTTATTATTTACTGACTTCAGAGTTTCTTCAACCAAATAAACAGTCATTGGCTTCAAAATGCATTTATATGTTATAAATATTCAATACAGTTTAGTTGGTGTTGCTTTGAATAATGTATGTTAATGCGGTCAACTGGTCTGGTAAGAAGGCCTAGAGACACCCTGTCATCAAAATGTTATATCCCTAAAAAGACAAAAAAAATTGCAGCTTCGCTTTATAAAAAAAGGTTTTTGTCTGAAACTACAACCTCAGGTCGACGGCAGAGAGCCTGTCCAATCAGAATGAAGCAGAGCTGCAGCGTCGCCTGGCGGAGCGACAGGAAGAGATCAGCCACATGCAGGAAATCCTCGAAACCAAAGTTCAGCTGCTACAAGAGGTACACATAAATAAAAGACACATAAATACACATTCTCTCATGGAATTCATTTGTTATTGTGTGTATAAATTGGAATTAATCTTTAAGAAAGACCAGATCCCTGACAGCCAGACGTTAAGCACGTTTGCATTGATTTGATTTTTACAGTTAAGAGCTTTTCCTCCTGTTTGTGTTGCGTTCAGGAGGCCTTGCTGGCCCGAGACGAGGCTGAGCGGATGGCCTCGCTGGCGGACTCTGAGGCTCAGCGCTGCCTGGCTCTGGAGAGAGAGATGTTGGAGAGGATGGAGGAGAGTGGAGGCTCAGACGGACTGCTCACCCAGCAGGCCCTGGCCGACAAAGACGGGTGACTTTAACTTTACATTTACACAAAAATGGTACATTAAAAAACGTTTGTGACCCCGGCAGTGGCTCTGGGTTAGATCTCTGAACTTCACTCCAGCTTTAACCAGATCTTAACGTGTTCTCCTCTCTCTTTCTGTCTCAGGGTGATCGAGGAGTTGACGCAGCAGAAACATTCACTGGAGCTCCGGGTCGAGGAGCTTCAGGTTAAAGTTCACGATCTTTCCTCTTCTCTCAAGAAGAAAGAACGAGAAGCTGAGGTGTGTTTGCCCTGTCCACATCGGGGTGGGCAAAAATATTATATCATGATTCACGGGTGCTTGGGTAAACCCCTCCCCAATAATAATAATAATAATAATAATAATAATAATAATAATAATAATATAATAATAAATAATAATGTAGGATTAATAACCCTTTATTAAATAAATACCGCATTTACTGAAGGCTATATTCATGTTACATGTAGTATTCATGCTATTTCACTAATGATGGACATGAATTTATGAGGCACGTGTTGATTAAAAGTTCTTTTTATTTGTTAAAAAGGCAAATGTGAAAAAACCTTGTAGACAGCTGACTTGCGATGTTGACAGAGCAGCTGTGTGTAGCCACAGAACTAAAACTGATAACTAATATCGCACAGCTGTGTCCACACTTCCTCTGTAGTTACTGCAAATACACATCAAATTGCATGCTAATGACAACTGGGCATGTCTATATTAAACATCTGAGTATTGCACCTTCATCTCAAGTGCATTTCAAGCAGCTGCTTGTTGGATGCAGACCCTGGTTAAGACCTTTAAATCCAGGTCCTGAACGTGACCCAGTCAGGTGACCCAGTTACTGGCTAAATTCCTCATCGGTTTACCTTCATCCCTCCTCTTCCATCTTCTATCTTTGTGTTTTGGCTCAAACCCCAGACAGGCTGACTGACTCAGATATCAAACTGTTTTTAAATCCACATGTGGGTCAGTGGAACTTTGGCAAAGCAGACGAGCCGCACACCACTGTGAAGATGAAACCATGAATGCATGTTATGGCTGACACGGACAGTCTCTGTATGCTTATTTTTTTCATTAGAGTGGAAATAATTAATACACAGTGACAATTACTGTCAGTGTAACACCAGTACTCATCTGAAAAGTACCCTCCACTGTAGGTCATTTATTTTTGTTTTCAATAAATACTGTACTTGTTACCTGATACAGCTGCTGATATTTTTAACACATTAATAAATTATAAGCCAGGACCGGATTTGATCTGGAGGAACAGGGGGGGGGTAATAGCTGCCTTTTCAGCACAAAATAAGAAACACACTTGTGAATTTCAATCCTGTGAGAGCAGTACAGTGGTAAGAAAATCCCATTTCAGATTGTGCTTTCTGTTTAACATGTTTACTTCTTTCCCCGCAGACTCATGGTGAGCGCAGAGTCCACACACAGATGCAGGTAGGAAAAACATTTGCTTAATTAAAACGGATGAATGAGATGTGTTTATATGTACAGGATACTCTGGTGTTGTTGCAGTGTAGTTTGGAAGTTAACAACAACAACACATGACTAAAACATCCCAGTTTTACCTCCAGATTATAACAAGATAGCTCCACCTAGTGGTGCCTAATCTACACTGCATGTATCACTGAGGCCTCCACAGTACTGTTTCTATTTATAATAATTAATCATTTAGCTGATGCGACTTGAAATTGCTATACATATCAAAGGTCTACGTTTCCTCCACATTTCAGATGGAAATATTATACTTTTTAACTTCCTCTTCATTCATCTTACAGCTGTGGTTATTATACAGATCTCTTTTTGAAAAACACCATAAACACCTAAAAATGAGCTTTAATGATCTTAAACTCAAATCCTTAAAAATGTTTTACTGCTGATGTTTTCTTACTTTTACTTGAGTTAAATTAAAATCATGACTTTTAAAAAAATTATTTTCCCATTTTGGTATTGTTACCATTACTTTCCTATTGTTTTTCTTTTATAATTGTCCTCTGACATTCTGTCTTCTTTTCTTTAGTACCTTATTCTTCCCTGTTTCCTGCTTTACTTGTTTCTTTTCTTCTGCCCTTCTTCTTTTGCCTACTTTCCTTCTTCAGCTCACACTATGTTGTGTTTAATGTGCTGATTGTGCTGCTGGCCTTGCAACAACTTGCCCCTCGGGGATAATGAAGATCTACCTCAACTTAATCTGAAAGCATGACAATCCCTAAAAGCTTTACATAAAGAACCACGACCAAAAACTATGATTTTCAGCTCATGTTAAGTAAAATGTCAAATGCAGTACTTATTTTGTCCTTTGTGGTACTTTAAAGTAACTTATTTTAGGACTCCATTTCATTTCAATTGAATTTTCAGAAGTTGACACACAGTAAGCATGGAGCTGGTGTCCTGCCCTCACATCCCCCCTGCTTGCGTTGCTCTCTCTAATATCAGGTCACACAGTGTCTCTCAGGTCGCTCACATCAGCAGTGATAAGAGAATCAGGGTCACTGCAGAGTCAGCTCGCACGTACAGTACAGTCCTGCTAATTTAACCTCAGTTTCCTCACTGACGCCAGTTATAATTATAATCAGCTCACTGTCTGCTGCCTGCTCGACACAGAGAGCCGTTTCATGAGGCGGCTGCAGAGTGCACAGAAGGAATCAGTTGTTTACTTGGCACACCAACAAGTGAGACATTTGAGAGAAGAAAATCAGTAAAGATACCTCCTCTGTCTGCGTCGACGTTAATTCTCCGCTGTCACACTTTGGTATTTCTGCCACTTTGAGAAAAATAAACAGCGGGTGAAGTCTGTGAGCAGTGTTTGGCGCTTATTTCTGATTAGGATTAATTGGTTTTTGATTGCGCGCCTCATTGCAGCCGATCGGTGTTTTGGTGTCGTGTCTCCAGAGGGTTGTGGGGTGACAAATGTAGACGCTGTCAAGTCCAGAGGAGAGTCAGTGTGGTCCACACACACACACACACAGAAAAACAAATCACATGTGAGAACAGCTTTATCAACAACACATCAAGCCTGCTGCGATAACGAAAGACGGATGAAGACTCGTGTATCTGTGAGTCTGTGGGAAAAAGATCCTGAAAGTGTCCGTTGAAAATGACATCAGCTTTTTAAGTCCTGCTGCTCGATTAAAGCGTCATGTGATTCACCGACACGAGTTCCAGGGAAATGAGAGAGCCCCAACCCTCCTCTCTTTCATTCTGTGACTTGCATGTGAAGGCCGGACTAGGACTGGGGGCCCCTGGGAAAGGCATGAACTCATTCCAGGCTGACAATTTAGAGAATTTAATGAGCCTGATGGAAAACACTCAGGCCTGTTTTTTTTTAGATCATGCCCTGCACACAGGCGCACTGACACAAAAAGCTTTGTGGACTTGTAAAATTTAGTATTTTGGAATATACAAGTTGTCGCACAATGTTTTGATATTAATGACCTGGAAATAAACCAGCTGAAGTTCAAACATGAGGTTTCTGTGGCCCCAGCTTTTGGAGATTGAACGCAGCGGTTTTAATTAAGCAGACAAAATAAACAGCACAGTGAAACGGGTTAAGTGTCCGGGCTTAAAAGCCACTGGCTACAACCCAAGGCAATCATGTATTCAGGAAACAAAGGAGTAATCCTCAGCCCCAGGTGACAAACATTGAAAAGCAAAACAATATGGTAAGGAGTCCAATAAAGAAAGAAACTATACAATGGAAAATTACCAAAATAAAATATGTAAAAGCAAAATAATTTAATAGAAATATTAATCAAAGGAAGTGGAAAGATTTTTTTGTGTGTTTTGATCCAAATGTCAGCTGATATCATCTTCCTTTAGTAAGTTGGTAGTATTTTCTCATTTTCGTTTACATCAGAAATGGAAACAGCAGTAAAACAGCCATGTTTATTTCTATCATGATGGATTGAAAACTACACTGCTGATATTAATGCTGTTTAAAATGTTATTGAATTGGCCTTTACTGATTATTTTAAACATAATTCATTAGGAAAGGAGAAAATGAAGTTTGAATTAACATTTAACCTGAAGGACTCCCCAAAGCTTAATAAAGAAACAGTCAGTTAAAGGGCAGGGCTCCGCACCCTCCTGTTTCCGGGAAAATGGTTCAGTCCGGCAGCAGCAAGAGGTCTCACTCCTACACTGATGTGAGGACCAAAAACGTAAGAGCTTCTTCTTAATGCAGTTCCACAAGATCATCAGTCTCTGTGTTTTAAATCTTTATTAACCAAAGCAAAGGAAAATAATAATATTTAAATAACTTATGTGAAAATACAGTATAATACAAACACAAAAATAATACATAATCCAAAAATAGAAGGACAAGGTGAATTATAATGCATTTGGCATCATGATTTCTTTGTGTTACAGGCACTTTGCTGAGTTGATTGCATTGTATGACACTTTAAGACACACGTTGGACACAAAAATCTTCTTACTGATTTTAACCAAGGCGCATTGTACAGTGTAAATATTATCATGATGGCAGATCACGTTCTTCAACATTAATCAGGAACAAACATTCACGACTTCCCCTCCCACCTGCCACAACTGGTCATTAACCAAACCTAGTGAATGAATGCAAAGGTGGTTACAGATGTGATTACAGCAATGACAATAAATAAATCAGTAATAAAGTAAAACAAAATTACATAAATAATAATGATGTGAATGAAATGTTTTAGAAGAGTCTTGAGATGAGTATGTAAGAGAGTATTATGTTTATATGCATTCAAATGTGCATCTTCATCAACAAGTCCAAATGGGGCTGCTGGGGGGGTCGGGTTCAATTACACACATAAAGTGGTTTTTAGACACTTTATCTTTGTTGTTACCAGTGGTGGAAGAAATATTAGTGAATAATGTAACCAATTAAAATACTCCATTACAAATACAAGGGATGCATTAAAAAATATTAGCAACTAAATGTTCTTACAGATTCAAAACCTACTCATGAGTAGCTTCTGTCAGTGCTGTACTATCACACTATTGTGTCATTATTGTTGATGTATTAATATGTAAGCAGTACTTTAATGTTCTTGTTGGTCAAGGTGGAGCTATTGTTAACTACTTTATATACATTTGGCAGCAACAATTGATCATATTTTATAAACTGATATGTTTTATATGTAAAAAACAAAAAAAAGAAAGAAAGAAACTAGTAGGAACTATGCAGTAAACTGAAAAGGACTATTTCTCTCTGAAATGTAATGCAGTTGAAGTAGCATAAAAAAGAAATACTTAAGTAAAGTACAAATGTCTCATAATTGTCGTATTTGAGTAAATGTTATTTTCCACCACTGTCAATTAATCATTGAGGCCTAATTTGATGATTGAAACAATTCACTTCTATAGCTTATCACTTATATTACTAGAATTAAACAACAATAATTTGCAGTTGTGTAAAACTTAGTTATGCAGGTGGAATATTTCCAGGAACAGTATGCAGGACATAATAAAATAAAAGTTTTGGAAAGGTTTTGTGAGGCTGCAACAACGGCCCACTTTTGCAGACGGGACTCATTAAAGCTGCGGAGTGAGACATCCTCTCGTATGTACGCGATCCCTGCTTTCTGTCAACGTTGCCCGTTGTTTCGTTACGAAAGCGGCTCGAGGTCTGACAGCCTCTCCCTCCATCCTCAGCGGAGGAAGCCGCTGCCGGTGAGGAGACAACGGAACGGGGACTCGGACGGTCTCCGGTGGATCCACACACATCCAGACCGTAGACGAGGAAAGATCGTTTTTTTCCGTGTGTGTGTCGGATAATAACGAGGGCAGCTGCCGCTGCAGCGGGGAGATGCTGCCATGCAGAGGGACGTCATTGATTTAAAAGCCAATAATAATAAAAAAAGCAGAGACATCAACGGAGGATCGTTTGTAAACCGGAATCACTGAGAACAAACCGAAGAGCATAAAAAAAAACGGATCGATCTGACGAACGCATGGCTGCAGATACCACCGAGGAAGTGAGAATGTAACCCATGACAGAGATTCACTCACATCCGTTCTGCCTGGAAATCTTCTTCACTGAATTAACGCCGTTGATCACGTTGTCATGTCAGCGTGATCCGACGAGATTTCAGTTTCAGAATCAGAAAATAACTGGATGGATGCTGATGGCTTCTTCATCTGATCAGCCAACCTGAAGTGACCTGGTTTTTCTTTCATCTCCAGGAAAAAAAACCAACAATTATAACAGATACTCTGAAACACTGAAAAGTTAAACTTGAAAAGCAGTTCAGGACTTGGAGCACAAAGAACAGATGCAGAAGAGGGACAAAAACACATCAAAGCGTCTCTGAACAAGACCTGTAATGAAACTTTAATGTTTTTTTAATCAGTGCAGTTGGCCTTCCAAAGTTATTTAGTTTGGATGAATGAGACACACCTGTTGGATCACATCTGTACAAAACTCCATGCAAAAAATCAGCACTTAAAAATACTTTATAATCAGAAGTTAATTCACTGCCACATGCTGTTGTGATGCTGGACGTGGTGAAGATGAAGGAGGCGTGCAGGATCTGCGCCCGCGAGCTCTGCGGAAACCAGCGGCGATGGATTTTCCACCCTGCTGCCAAAGTCAACCTGCAGGTGCTGCTGTCCCACGCGCTGGGACGCGAGCTGACCCGGGACGGCCACGGAGAGTTGCCTGCTCCAAGTGCGCCTTCATGCTGGACCGCATGTACCGCTTCGACACGGTCATCGCCCGCGTGGAGGCGCTGTCTTTGGAGCGCCTCCACAAGCTGCTGCTGGAGAAAGACCGGCTGAGGCAGTGTATCGGAGGCCTGTTCCGGAAGAACAACGCAGAGGATGGAAATGTGGCTCCGCCTGGGTCCGTTGTGGGAGTTGCTGGGACTGAGGCGGCGTCCGAGGACTCTCCTGTGGTAGATCTGTCAACCCTGCAGGTTGTGAGATACTCAGATATGATCCAGGATGATCTGACTTACTCTGTGTATGAATCCTGGGCTGATAAGGAGGAGCCTGTCCCGGACCACCACACTCATCACCACCACCACCACCTCCTCCAGTGCCCAGGAGCAGACTCTCTCTCTGGCCAGAAGCCGAGGCGGTGCAGGGGTTGTGCAGCGCTCCGTGTTGCTGATTCTGACTACGAGGCAGTGTGCAAGGTGCCTCGCAAGGTTGGGCGCAGGAGCACATCCTGCGGCCCGTCTACCCGCTACTCGACAGCCACTCCGGGGGTCGACGTCCCCACCAGAGAGTCCGGAGAGTCTGAGTCTACAGCTGTCCCCTTTGAGTCCTCTTCAGTTGGGGTTGACACTGATAAGACCGCGTGTGACAGGACAAGTCCCAGCCAGGCATCATCTGTAGAATCTCTCGACACGGCCGTGGACGTGAGTTGCCCTCCTGTGAACCATAAGGAAATAGACGAAAAGGAACCAGAGAAAGATCCAGAGGAGGCTCCAGCGAGAAGGGACACTCCATGGGACAAACCCACAAGTGAGAGCTCCCTCTCTGGCCTTGAGATGATGCTGAGCCTCCTGAGGGGCTGTGAGTACCGGCCAGTGAAGCCTCACAGGGGCAGCAAGCTCCCAGTTCTGGTCAAAGTCAAACTCGAGCATGGCCTGTCGCTGCCCCTGCCCATCCCGCTGAGGTCGCCCTGCGGAGGGGCAGCGGACTGTGAGCTGTACCGCCACCACCCTATACCGGAGGTCGTGACCACGTGTCCCCAGCAGGAGCTTCAGGCGGAGCTGGCAGAGATGGAGGAGCTGTGGCTTGATGAATTATATTCAGTGTGGGCCTTTCCGCTTTCAGCAGGTAGATCAGTAGTCGCACGGTGCCTGTTCACTGGATGACCTCTGACCTCACTGTGTAGACGTGCTATTTACATTTTTAAAACTATGATGTGCTCTGAAAGTTCCCTCGATTCCCAGCCAAGGAAGGCAGAAGATGCTTTATAGCTGCATTTTGAGAAATGTAGGATGCAGGTGTTTTCTGAGATTGGCTCCATTTTGTCGGCCTCTGCAGCTTTGATTTTGACCCTTCTCTTTTTAAAAGCTGTCTCTTGTAAGTCCCTCTACTTAATAAAATCACTAGAGTGCCTGTTTTTGTAAAAGAAAATTGCAAACATTCTGTAGTTTCAGATTTTTATGCGACACTGACTGACGTAAAGTGTAATCAGCGGCATTTTCTCAACACTTTCCATTAGTGGAATCATATTCTTGGTTGAGAAATGGGGACATAAACGCTGTAGACAATATGTCGTGTTTCCATCTAATTGTCAAGTGATAAAAATAATAGCTAATTAGGCGCATTTTGATCTACGTAAAGCATAGTTTCGTTAGAAGTTGCCATTACGCAAGGCTCTAATAGACAAGAAGTAGAGGTTGCAAACGGGTGTTTGTGCATGCCTGCTGAGAATTGCATGCACCTTGCGGGAGGTAACGCTTCTTTATGCTGAGAAAAGAGCTGGATGCAAATCTCAGCTGTTCTGCCGAATTATGCATCCAGGTCCTTTTCAGACACTTTGCTGTGCACACAGATCAAACGCGGTTATTACCACGAATCTTTGCTGAATCTCAATGAATGGTACTTCTACTAAGTGTGATAAATTATTAAAAGTATTTCGAATCAGTTATCACCATTGATGAACGCCACAAAGGATAATATTAGCATTATTTGTAAAACATCGTAACACAAAACCAGTCGCATGGACCTGAAGACCGTGGATCTGAGAAAAATGGAGAAAGGTCTCCAGGAATGTGTTTCAACTGGGCAAGTTGTAATTGGTCTTTCCTGTTGGCTAGTATTGGCCATGTTTCATGCTGTTTGGAGACAAAGACAAAGAAACAGCTGATCAGTCGTGTGAGTTACATGTTCGTTAAGTCAGAACTTATTCAGCAAAGGTGTTTCCATCTCCCATTTAGCGCCTTAACTCTTCTTCCAATAATGCAAAAAACACCTCAAGCGAGTGTAAAATTTTGCCGTTTCCGTCCACCTTTACTTGAAAATGTGTATAAAAATGACTAGTGTCCCTTTTGCAGCAGGAAACAGGGTAACCTGATTACAGACCCCTGAATCAGTGCCATCAAACAAAATGGCCCTTCAGTCTAATTATCAGGCTAAAACAACTTCTGGATGTCTGAGGAACATAAGAACTGGTTATCCAGCTAGTTTACAGTGAAAATCTGAAAAACAAATCTGGAACGATCTGAATGAAGGCGTAGTCCATCACCACTTTTTGAGAAGATCGACCAGCTAATGTAATCCTCCGAGGTCAAATCTCTCTGGACATTTGTTTCTCTTACTCATCTCCTTCAGCGCTGACAAAGCTGAACGCACTCCCCTGCCTTGATTACCCTCTCGGGGCGCATAAATACTCTTCCTCGTTGGTATCCTAGCAATACTTTTGTTGCCATGGGAACATTCTCCAAGCGCTGCAGCAGTCAGTCGCCGTGGAGGCTCTGCTCAGTCTGATCCAGTTTCCAAACCCCTATTGTGATGTTAATGATTAGTGTGAATGTGGATCAGTGTGCCAGCAGCAAACAAGAGACAGGACGTCTCTGTGATGTTCTATTGTATGTTGGTCTGTTATACAGCAGTATGCCACACTGTACAACAGACAACAGCTCACTGGTGGAATAAGGACATTAACACACATTAGAGAGTCTCCAAAAACTAGATTCTGGTGAAATAAATAGATTTATATGTAGTGATGACTTTGCTCTGATCGCTGAACTATTTACCAGAGGTGTGTTTCGTGATTTCACAATAAAAGAGAATTATTAAAGACACCTTTGCACCATGCAGTCAATGCCAGGTTTATTGCATTTCACACTACGGCTGGGTGATACGGACTAAAAATCATTTGGGTAGTTTTAGGCTGAATTCCATTACAAGATATATATCTGTATTTTCTATTAAGTGGGCTTAATCTTCAGTTGGACATAGATTTGAGATTGGGTGTGGGAGTGGGGGCGTGGTCGGTGTTAGCGGGGCATGTTTTTACTCTTTGTAGTAGATTATTTCTTATCTTACCAGTTTAATCGCACTTCGTTCGCCTTATTTTAGTGTTTACTCACAGACCTAACGTAGTCTACCTCTGCTGCGGACACATCAGCGTTCCCTCTCTCTTTCTGTCCCCCTCTATCTGTAAATGTCTTCTCCGTTGACTTTCTCTTCGACTTCTACAATCGAGCCAGATGAAACGGCTGTAGAAAAGGCTGCACGTACAGCTAATAGCCTCCCAAAGGGCCGAGTGACTTCATATCAGCACGCAGACCATAAAAACACAAGGAAGTCAACAACATGCTGCCGAGGCAACAGCCGCTTCCCCAGGAAGTCATCCACCAGTGAACTGACATCACTTTCCACTTTCACTCCATCATTCACGCAACAGCTGCAGGGACAACACACAGATAACTGTTTGTTTCTAACTTTTCACCCCTGATCTGCCTATTTAGTCGAGTGTTAAGAGATATGAAAAACAACAGCCAGCAAAGTCCAGTCGTTGCATCATTTATTTTGCTTCTGTGTACAGTTCCACTGTTACATATTTCTTAGTTAGCTGACCTGTGCTTTTGTTCCTGTGCCTCTGCAGAGGCTGATTGATGAGCAGCAGGGCCATCTCAGTCAGTATGAGAGTGCTGCAGGTCAGTGTGTCGGGGAGCTGCAGAAGGCCCAGGTCCAGGTCCACTCGCTCCAAGCCAAGATCAGAGATGGCGAGTCCAGGAACCAGGTACAAACACGTCACCCGTGCCACCTCCACACTTTCATCTGAATCTGCTTTTACATACGTCTCCAGGAAAAGCACCGTAATGTTTTGTTCAAATGTGTGTGTGTGTGTGTGTGTGTGTGTGTGTAGAAGCTGCAGGAGCGTCTCGGTGAGATGGAGTTGGAACTGCGTTCAGCCCGAGAGGAAGCTCAACAACAAGAGCGAAACATCCAGAACATCACTGATACCGTTAACTCCAAGGAGGCACAGGTAGAGATCGATATGAACTCCACAGAATACATTTAGACAGAAAGAAAAGATTTCACACAGCACAAAAGAATGCACAGTTTCATGTATAAACAGTGTTTGTGTGTGTGCAGGCTGCAGAGCTGTTTCGGGTGATTGAGGAACAGAATAAGATGCTGTGTTCTCTCAAAGAGCTCGCCAACCGCAACCAGCTGCAGCAGCTGCAGGTTTGTCCTCCATACTGACACTGAATGATACCAAAGAGGCTTCTTCACATCAGAGAGAGAACTGTGATCAGATCATTTTTATAATGTTTCTGATTCACTACAATCTTCAGGACGCCTTGGATATAGTTTCATTGAAGTAATTAACCACCATTTTAAATTAGATCTTAAATCTCCCCTTGAAGTTTACTTTGGCTCCTTTCTGTTCTTGTTGTGTGTTTGTCCCCCTCCCGCTGCAGGTGTCTGGTGCTGACAGTATCCGAGGCCAGGGGGAGGTTCTGGGTCTGCAGGCGTCTCTCTTCCAGGCCCAGCTGGAGCTGCAGGCCGGTCAGCGGGCACAACGGCAGGCAGCCCGCACCCAGGAGGACCTGAGCCGAGCCCTGCAGAGGCTAGAGAAAGACCTGCAGGGGGCGCTGCAGCACAGGAGGGACACAGAGAGACACAATCAGGTGAGAAAGGGAGAAGTGGGATTGTTAAAATGAACCATTATACTTGTTGGTTACACGTCACAGTTTAGTCTGAGTCTTTAAGGAAGATCAGATAGTATGCATCGGTTGCATTTTCTGAAAGATCACCTCGCATCTTGACTCTTTATACTGACCTGTGTGTGTGTGTGTGTGATGTTCAGGACCTGCAGCTGGCTCTGGAGAAGGCTCGATCTGCCCTGCAAGAGAGAGAAGAGCAGCTGAGAGAGGGCAAAGAAGAGAGACAGCGGGAGGACGAGGAGAGAGAAGGACCATCAGAGAGCTGAAGATGTCCCTGCTGACCAAAGAGCAGCTGATAGAGGTCTGACATGCAGTACACAATGCTCTCATTCATTGTATTCACATAGGGGTCGTCATTACACAGGAGAGTATTCACATGCTGCTCATACCAGAGTGCAACTAGCTGAAGTTCCTCTGCCGACCACTAGATGCTCCTCAGACTGAACTTTAGTGACTCATTAGTTCCAGATTTGTTCCAGAAGAATTTAGCGTCTCTGTAGTTGGTCTCACTTCCTCTGTTGCGGTCATGTTTAAAGTTACTGTTCCATTCGATCAGGACTGTGAGCTGCTGGAGGATCCAAAGGACAAGAGAGACTCTCTGATTCAGAAACTCCGCCAGCGGATCAAGGAGAGAGACGAGCTCTGGAGGTAAACGACACACACCGGTGGTCATCCCTGTACATCCTGTGAGCTCATTTTGTCTTGTGGCTGGTGTGTGAGTACTATATCGTTCACTACACCACAATAACACAAAATAAATAACAAAATAAAGCCAAGTTTATTAATCTGTTTCTTTATGTAGACTAATTTAAGCATTGCCTCCAGTTCCTGTAGCTACATGTTTACTTTATTTATTCAGGAAAGCTCATTTAGAATATGAATCAATGAGACTCAAGGCCAATTTATACTTACTATACTGCATCAAGTAGTCCTCTAGTGCAGTTCTGGAGGACTCCAGGTGGTAATATAAGATACTCGTGAATGCTGCCCCAGGATCTGGTCAAAACTGCATCCCCAGCACTTTAATTAGGGCCAAAGCAAAACTGTCCGGTTTGATGATTATTTTTTCAGCGAGCAGTGGATGAGAAGTTCCGCTGCGTGGAGGAGAAAGAGGAGGAGACTCGTCGGCTTCAGCTGCTGCTCAGAGAGAAGGAGAGAGACCTGGAGAGGCAGCGCTGCGTCCTGGCCAACAACGAGGAGACCATCACTGTGAGAACGCACACAAATCCCACTCCTTCTCCACCCACTCTGCTGCCTCCGCCGCTCACTGTGGGTTTTGTGATTATCTGTGTGTGTGTGTGTGCCAGAGCCTGGAGGTGCTGGTGCGTGGGAAGGCTTTGGAGCTGGAGCAGGTGTGTGACGCCTGGAGGAGCGTCCAGCGGCAGCAGCAGGAGAGCGAGGAGAGACAGAGTCGCATCCTAAGGGAGAGAGACGCCATCATCAGCCAGCTGCAGGCGGCGCTGCACGCTCGCACGCAGGAGGCCCAGGTACAGACAGGAAGTGGACGTATTAAAATCTGTTCCTCAGCTTTATTTTTTAAATGTGAAGTTGCTGAAAAAATGTGTATTTTACACATCATGTTATTACAATCCCTCGATAATAGAACTTTGCTGCTTTACAGTCAGATGGGGCATCACAAAATGGCCTTAAACAGTTAAAAACAACAGAAAAACACACAGATTGTTGTTTCCTGTCGTCACCGCTTTGTTGAGAGGAAATCTCTGTGGATTCGGGTTTTGACGTCTTCTCTCGGCTGTAGGACCTGCGCTGCAACCTGCTGGCTCAGATCCAGTCAGCTCCTAGCGACATTCTGGAGGAGCTGAAGGTCCGGCTCCAGCTCAAAGACCGCCTCTTCCAGGAAGCGCTGGCCGACCGGACTCGCCAGGCGCAAGAGCATCAGGAGCAGGTCCACGATCTGCTCAGAACCATCAGCTCCAGGGACCAGTACATTCAGGTAGAGCAGTGGGGCTCAGCGGAAGCACTTAGGTCCAGTATAAGGTCATATGTGGGGGGAAAAAATGACAACAATCTCCCTGCAGGACTCTGCCAGCCGGCTTGGTGAGGTGATGGCCGAGCAGACAGCGAGGCTCCAGGAGCTCCGCAGACAGCTGAGCTCAGGCGCCGGATCGACGTCTGACTCCGGATCCGACTGGGCTGTCGAGCTCCAGGCCGTGCAGGAGGAGCTGCGCCTGGCTCTGAGGAGGGAGAGGGAGAGCCAGGAGCTAAGCAGGAGTCAGGCCAGCACGCTGGACTGCCTCACCAGGACGCTGCATGTGAAGGAGGACATCATCAGGGTCAGTGAGCGGGAGAGAGAACGGGATCTTTGTAATTTTTCTTTAATATAAAAACCCAGTATTAAAAAGATGCTCAGCTCAAGAAGATGATGGAATAACTTGTAGTACTATATAATTCGTTAAATGTGTTAAATTCAGTATAATGTAATATAATAATTCTACCAGTACAACAACAGAGTCGGGTCATACTTACAAATGCTATTTAACATCAACTTGTCATTGGTTAACACAAACAGCCCTCTTTTGAGCTTTGGGACAGAGCGTTTTTAGATTCACTTGCTATTTAAATTGTTTATTTGTCTTAAAAACAGGAACCCTTAAAGGAAGACTTAATCATTCAGCTTCAAATTATGCATAATTAAGACAATGATAATTCATTCAAAATACATTCGCCAAAACAATTACCACAATACGAGACACTCAGAGAAGAGTATTACATGATATAGAGGCAACAAACGTGTAATATCCCTGTTCTGCTGTTTCGACCGCCGTGTGGTGGTGCGGGTTCTGCAGGACTTCCAGAAGCAGATGGTGGAGCCCTCAGGTCTCCCGCTGGTGGAGCGGTTGACCCAGGAGGTCCAGGAGCTAAGAGAGAGCCTGGTCCAGCAGGGCGGCCCCCCAGGCAGAGGCCCCGTCCTGGGCCTTGATCGGCCCAACAGCAGGCAGCCTGAGTTTGGAGGTGGGCATCAGAGAAGCATGGGACAGTATCTGTAACGGCATCCGAGCCCTGACTGTGGTGTGGGGCTCTGCGTGGAGTGTCCTGGTGTGGTGGTGGTCAACAGAATTTAACCCCCGGGGACCTTCCGGGTGTGAATACTAACACTGAACATTTTTGTATAGTAACTAGTGATGGTGACATGATGGACTAACTCAGTTTTCAACAGTCCAGTTCAGTCAGAGGTCTGCACGCTTCTAAACACTGATCACAGAAGGGTCTGTTTCATTAATGCCACAGTTTGTTGTCGGAGTTTCAAACACCTTAACAAGCAGCATGATTTTCTTTTTTTCCCCACCTTTTTGGAATGGCATTGTGTTAAATCTTCACTCAAACTTGACAAACTTAACATTGTTTGAAGGCAAAAAGCCTCACAATTCTGTGCCTGTAAACCATTTTAACGTTCGCAATTAAAAAAAGAAACAGATGCTGATTATTTAACAGGAGTATATAGAAAAACAGAGGGTGAGAAGGTGGTCATTAAAAAAATAAAAAGTTTAAGAACCACTGGCTTAAAGAAAATAACCACTTTATTTTGGGGCATTTTAAGGCTTGTGTACAAAATGTGAGGTTCTTGTTGAGGGGTGGAAGTCCAATTCCAAAATACAACAAGGAAAAAAAAAAAAATATTTACATAAAATAAATAAAAAAATGCAGATCCAGGTGATTTTAATCAAACATGCTCTTCACATGAATCCATCTGGGCAAAATAGCTGGAAAAATGTTTTTATTTAATTGTTTTGCAAACATACTGAACAAAATTATATGTTTTTTAACTCAAAGATCTAAGACCTTCTCCATGTACACAAATAGGCCTCTTTCTCAAATATTGTTCACAAATCTGTCATAATCTGCATGTAGTTTTAATTTTGTTCAGTGTATTTCAGTGTAGTTAAATGTCAATTTGAACAATTCATTCAACTGCTTTCTCTTATGAATCATATTTTCTATTTGGGAGAATACAAAGCATCGTTTAGTTAAATGGTGGTGTAAATATCTGTGTTTTGTCATGATATTTGGTCACGTATGGCAGTGATAATGTATGTGTGTGGGTGTGTGCCTTTGCATGCTCAGCAGCTTGAAGAGTCTGTTTCTGAATGCTGTAAATTGTACAACAGCTGAACCGACCGATATCTTGTTTTGTGGAACAATATAAAAAAGTGAGCACATTGCTTTTTATGTGATTATGACTTTATATACTTAGTTTACAGCTTTGTATTTTGGAGAAAAGTTTCCAATTGTCAGTTTGCTTTTGTGATTTTATGATGCTCTGTGCAATTCAACAACAATCACTTCCATCTCTGTGGTTCTGTATTAATGAATATATCGATAAAGTCGAGTGTCATACTGGAGCACAGTAAGTATGAATGTTATTTCTTTCCTTTTTCTTATTGATCTTCACATAAAGCTGAAGAATTCAAAGTGTGTGTCTGCACAGGCTCCATAAAAGTTTTTTAAAAAGCCACATTTGTTGGATTATATTTTATTCATACATTTGAAATCCCTTACATGTAATCGAGCCGTTAAATAAACAAACCTGCAGTGCACATAATGCGTTTGTGTTTGTAGGAGGTTTTCAAAGTTTGTACAGTTGAAGTAACTGTTTACTTGTTTGCACACAAGCCCAAGTTATTTTATCACTTCCCCCATCTCTATAGTGACATCCTTACAGTGCATCTTTTTCCACTACATACATGAACACGTATATTTACACACAAGTCACTGAAAACAAACACTTCACGCAGTAACGTAAGCACAGAGGCCAGTTTCAGAGGAACATGATCACCCCTTCTCTCCTTGCTTTGTGGATTTCATAACTATACAGTTAAATATGCATAACGTACCACTTTGAATTTTCCAAAGCAGTTCAAATTCCCTTAAAAAAGTTTGCTTAGTTATATTTATTCATTTTAACAATCATATATGCGCCTACATCCAACAATTAACACCTCTGAATTCCCCCCGTAATATAATTCTGGTGGAGAAACTTTATTTATATATTTATATATTGCCGGAAACAGTCACATCCATCAATCATCAAGTCCACAAATATGTCTGTAACTCCTGCCGGGGGTTGTTAAAACCCCTCAAACTCACAGAAACAACACTGTAGTGTCCTCCTCAGTGGTAGCCACAGCCCTGAAATGTACATTAATATGAGACCAAATCGGAGTAGTAATGTAACACAGAAGCTAATATAGTTCCTAGAAAATAAATATGGCACCGTTGATGCTAAAAAGAGGCAGACCTGCCTTAGCCTTAACCTAACTTTATCACTCAGTACATTCATTAAGTTGAGGCCAGTATTGACCTCGCTACAGATCCATGTAAATTTTCCCAGCCTCAGATTACCCATAATCCTGATCTGTTTAAATATCTTTTGCCCTTATTGGTCCATTCTCAAGTTCAGTGGCTTCAGATTCGAGAGCCTCTCTTACAATCATTGCAGTTAATCAAAGAAACATCCTATCAGTGAACAACAAGCTGTTTATATGTACGTACAAACATTTGAACTCATAGCGGATGTTGCGTTACATATTACCAGCGACCTGATGAGAGTGAAGAAGGTTTTCTCCCTGCTGGGAGTGTGACAGAACTGTTGATGAATTGCACAAAGTAAACAGAAATGTTGAGAGAAATGTAAAATAAGTTCTTGTAATGGTCGAAAATCTTAACTTTCTCCAATCCTTTTTGCAGAAGTGAGCTCAGAGGATGAAGACGAGGCTGATGAGGACTTGAACAGCGAGTACACTGAGAGCGTCGACGAAGAAGAGTCCAATCTGAAGGTCCCGTCTGTGGCCAACACCATGGTATGATGCATTACAAGCTTTGAATTCAAGTACTGATGCTTTTTCCTTCCATCATTACAAACACGTTTATTTTAATGAAATTTCAACACAACAATTTAATTATCATTGCATCCAACAAGGATGAATTAGCAATTTAGAGCATTTTATTCTATTAATATTATGTTTTCAAACAAGAGAGCTTTTCTCAGTGTATTAGCAGTATTTTTTATTTGTCCCTATAGGAAAATAAATACAATGCTTTTCCTGTGATTTTTTTTTGTGACAGTTTATGTGGTAGTCTTTACTTTTTGTTGTCTACTTTTAATCTGAAAATTCTGTATTTTGGGAGCTGCATCCTGGCTCTTTCTGTGTCTGGTTCTGATTTAGAGTTTTTATTTAGAGTTTCATGTTTATTTGTGTATATAGTTACATTTTGGATAAAGTATTTTAAGTGTATCTTAATCTTAAAATACACTCTGAAACTTACAAGAGTTGTTAGAAGACATTTCAAATCACATGACGGCAGAAAAACAGATTTAAGCTGCTGTGATTTTTGATCATTTCTCCTTGATCTCCGGTCCATTTACATAAAAAAGAAAAGATGGATTCAATAACATAACTGTAATGTTTTATTGTATAGTAGGTTACACCTCAGGGGCTCGTTATTCATTATCCAGAAACAATGCCCGTCTGTCTAAACAGGGTTCTCGAGGTACCGGAAAGGCTCCGTCCCTGGATGTGTTATTTGAAGGTCAGGGACTGATGGAGGTCAAACAGCTGGTGGAGCAGAAGAGGGCGGTGGAGAGAGAGCTGGGAGAGCTGAAGGCTCAGCTGGAGAAGGCCGGCTTCTCCTCACTTTCACAGATGAGGTAAGTTCAATTACTTAAAGGATAAAGGTAGTTATTATATTTCTAGCAGTGAATGTACCGTCCCGCTAAACGTAGCCTGTAACAAATGCACTAGGAAATAACTGAGCCTTGTTTAAACATGAACATTTATATTTGTGAGGTGTTTTTTTTTACATCTTCAGTAGGAGCCAATGGGCTTGGAGCTGAGAGCCACAGACAGGAAGTCAGACAGCACTGAGGGAATTTTTGTGGGATTTGTTGACAATAAGAAAAATACAGCACACATCCATTAAACATAAAGATGAAGAAGGTCAATACCTTATTTGTAACCATTTATCTTTCTCTGTTTTTTTTTTTTTTTTCAAGGAAAGCTCTGTTCAGCCTGCAAGCAGATAACCAAGATTTAAAGCATCAGCTGGCTGAAGGGCCCGGCAGTAAACAGAAGGGTGAACAGAAGGTGTTGGATGGTGAAGAGGAGGAAGAGGAGGAGGAGGAGTTGGATGTGACCATAGAAGAGGTGGATGAGGTTGAAGAGGAGGAGGTAAACTCTGAGCTGTGGGACGCCTGGGAAGGAGAGCTGTCTCTGTTAGAAACCAACATCCAGACCAGTGATGAGCCGCAGAAGACCCGAGCCAACAGACCCGAGTCACTGCACCGGCTCACCGGCTCCTCACAGGTCGGTGGTCTTGACTCTACAAGGAGAAGCACCGACCCTGAAAATAAAGCCACCCTTAATGTATTTCTTTTCCTGTATAGCTGTCAGCCGGTCAGCACGAGGGCGCTGCGTCCTCGGTGAGAAGTGAGAAGACAGCGCATCTGCAGCAGAAGAGCAAAGAGCTGCGAGAGAGGCTGATGGTGTCTGAAGCCACGGTGCAGGCTCAGGCCGAGCAGCTCAAAGACTACAGGGAGCTGCTCAGTGAGTGGACAGGCTGACGTATCTGAAGGGTTATATGTCGTGTCAGTGATGTGTGATTGCGTCTATCTATTTTGCAAAATGCAAAAGAAACAAATCAATATTCTTCTTCTTCTTCTGTGTCTCTGCAGCAGAAACATCAGTACAGCAGGACAGTAAGCAGATCCAGGTGGACCTGCAGGACCCGGGCTACGAGACCTGTGGCCGCAGTGAGAACGAGGCCGAAAGGGAAGACACCAGCAGCCCAGGTAGGTCTGACTGTTACACGCCGTCTCTGAGGAGTCTTTACACAAAAAGTAAAGGTAAAACTAAACATTTTATTCTTTCCTAAGGGTTAAAGTTAGTTTAAAACATACATTATCAATATGTTTCCTAGAAGCAGATATTAGTGTCATTAGTTAGTTGTAGTTGCATCACCAAAGCACCAGAGGGCAGCAAAGAACAGCGCTGACAGGAAGTAGAAGTCATGCAGGTGTATAACAACAAATCAGAGACAGTTCAACAGCACCACAAAGTAAAATCTTTAAAATGACCTTGAACTCATCTGAAAACATTTTTGACAACCTTCTTACACATTATTAGACTTTATTTGGTTTTAGTTTTACAGCTAATGAACCTGAGTGTATAACAATAAAGAAAATGACTGAGATGCAGACTGAGAGCGAAACCAAAGGTGTTTTTTCATTTCTGCTTATAGGAAACATAATTCCAGCCCGATGAATCTGATGCATGTGTGTACTGTGTGTTCCCTGACAGAGTTTGATGACCTGGAGATGTGCACATCTCTGGATTGTGGTTCCCAGTGGTGGCCTGCCAACAACAGCAGCAGCAGCAGCTCCACCTTGACTAAATCCACCACACAGAGCTCCGGTTATGGAGACGAGTCATCTCTCCAGCGCCTCGTCGAGGACCTTCGCTCGCAGCTCTCCCGCTCTCAGGGAGTAATCCGCGGGCTCCAGAGCCGCCTGCGCTCCCTCTCCACCTCCAGCGACTATGGACCCTCCACACCCCGCAAGGTAAACTGGTCCTTCCAGGCCTCGCCCTCCCAGAGCGGGGTGGAGGACGATGAGGGCTGGCAGTCGTCAGACGGTGGTCCCCTGGCTTCGCCCCGTCACCCTCACTCAGACAAGGGCCTGCAGGAGCTGGTGTCCCGTGTGGACGCGCTGGAGGAACAGTTGAGGAAAGGAGGCAAAAACTCTGTCAGCGAGGACGGAAAGTCTGCCACCTGGCCAGGGTGAGTGGCAGGACAGATGTTACATATATACATGAAACACAGCAGGAAATGTGTTTCTTTTTTTTTCTTTTTTTTATTTAAAGTCAAGAAACAGCAGTATATTAAATAATCTAAATAACTTTTTGAAACAAATGTAACTGGAAGAAAAAGACCTTTTATGCAAACATGAAAAGGACATGACAGGATTACATAATGAATCTAGAAGCAGTAAATCTGATACATCATGGCAGTTCATTGCCGCTTCCCTCCTGAGATTGTTTTTTTACCCTGTAGAGCTTTTCTTCGAGCTGCTGTGGTGGCAGCTGCAGATCTTTCTGGCGACCTTTATAGTGAAAGCCTGCCAGGAAAGGGAGAGGTTGTGCCCTTTTAGAGCTGGAAGCCGTGAAACCTCTGTAGAATAAGTTTTGTGTCTCATTGATGGTAGCTTAATATTGATCAAATATGACCATGTGTGAGTGATCAGAAAACAATTAGTGAAGGAAAACAATATTTCTGGTATTAAAAAGAAAGTGTTTTCAGCAGAGCAGCGAGGATGATGATGTTGTATTGACAGCAATAGTGCTGTGGAAATGGACTATATATGTATATAGAAATTATCAAAACAACGTGTAAACTTGGAGGTAGACCGCCCAAACTGAGACCAAGTCAAGACTAAGACCAGAGTTTATCGAGACCGAGAGAAGACCAAGACTTTTAGGGGCTGAGACCAAGTCAAGACCATAACCGAGGGAGGGCGAGACCGAGTCAAGGCCAAGACCAGTTCCCCACATTACATGACACACAATAAAATGTGGAACGAGATCATAGTTACTTCACAAATTGATCTGAAAGATCCACATTCCCATTAAAACACCCACATACAAACACTAAGAGCTGAAATCAACGTAAGCACTTCCATCACGGGGAGGGGTGACAGTCGTTAACGGTAACAACACATTTTTATTTAATGTTATTGGTTGCATTTGAAGCAACGCGTTTTACATCCAATCAAAGTTAGTATGTTAACAAATAAATCAGACAATCCAAAAGCAATTTACTGATATTCCCAAAGTTATGGTCTTGAAATAAAATCCTGAGTCCTCAACGTCCAAGACAGAGACAGGACAAAGTAAAAATCACGCCACGAGTCCGAGACGAGACCAAGACCATCAAAATGTGGTCTGAAGACCGGTCTTGAGTACTACAACACTACTTGGAGGAATAACAAGAGCAGATCAGAGTGACGTCTTGCTAAAATAAAATAAGGAATAATGTCTCAAAATGTTTTTTTTTTTTAGGTAAACAAACCTAATGATATATAATATAATCCATTTAATATATATAAATATATAATCCTTTGATTTAAAAGTACAATATGTAAGACTTGAGAGTTCCCTCCACCTGTTGAATTCCTCAAAATTAAGATCATAAAAGCTATGCATGTAGTATTTAGAGAACAAAAGAAGAACTTTACAGTACTTTTATCCTCTGACTGATATGATTCAGTCTGTAGAGCGATCCTTTAATCACTGCATGCACTAAACATCCCATCAGCCTCCGTCAGTATCCGCCCATGTTAATCAAGCGTGACCACAGATGTTTTTATGTAAACTCAGCTGATCTGACAGTCCGAGGGGATTAACCGACACGAGGTTGGGAACACGGTGTCCCATTTGCCATGTGTGACCAAAATGCAGCTGTGGGGGGGGGAGTCTGTACAGTGAGGCCTCTTACATCAAGCGATGAACAGGTCAATATAATTTGCATAGTTAATTACGGCAGAAACAGAAAGGAGAATTGTTTTGTGTGTTGTTTTTGTAGGCTGGTTTTAAATTACTGTGGGTTTGTTTTTTTGCTGTGGACCCTAGGAGGAGTAGCTGTTTAGGGTACTCTCAGGGTTTTCATGTGTTATTTCACAGGTCATGTAACACTCATTTCTTTTCTGTCTCATGTTCCGTCTCTCTTTGTAGTAAATTCGACACTCTGATCCAGACTCAGGCCAGAGAGCTGTCTCACCTTCGCCAGCGGCTGAGGGAGGGTCGGGGCGTGTGCAACATCCTCACCCAGCACCTGGGAGACACCACCAAGGCCTTCGAGGAGCTGCTGAGGGCCAACGACATCGACTACTACATGGGCCAGAGCTTCAGGGACCAGCTGGCTCAGAGCGGCGCTCTGGCGCAGCGAGTCGGCGCGAAGATCAGCGGACGTGAGTGCTCTGCTTTTATTAACTTCATTATAGACACCGTGATATCCAGTCAGGTCTCAGAAGTGACAGATTCCAGTAATAGGCTGTCTGTTTCATTTAAAGTGTAACTGCATTATAAAAACAAATGTTGTTTTAAAACCTAACGACGTCGATGCTCCAACAGGAGATCACTCTGAAGATCCAGAGGAGAAGACAGAGCTGATCGCCATCCGGTCAGTGCTCATTTACGTATCTGTGTGCACATGTCTGCTTGCCCGTGCATGTGTGTTGTGTGTATCTGTTTGAGTTCTGCGTAACAACTGGTTCAATGTTAATCAGTGGAAAATATTGGTGTGTGTGACGCTCGGGCCAATGTTTGTTCCTCAGGGCAGAATAATTAGATGCTCACTCGATAATGAGTGATGATCTCACTGGATGATTAATGACAGAGCTAATTGGTTACTAATGAGAGAGGAAAAGTGGGGATGGGCTGGATAGACATCTAACTACCCGAAGGGCAAGGAAAGGTTAGATGTCTATCTGGATGTGCTTCCTTAGTGATCTTGCCCTGTTTAAAACCATCCCAGCTGTCATTGTGAATTCTGCGATTAACACGACACAGCGTCTGGTTAGAGTCATAGACTGTATGTAAGAAGTGGACGTCAGTATTTGACGCCCTGAGATGAGAACAGTGAACAGGCACATTAGTGGTAACCTTCTTTGGCAAACAGGACCACTTTTGCACATGTACAGAACGGATCTTGCTGGTGGTACGGATTTGGCACTGACAGAGCTAGCTAGCTTGCTTAGCGAGGTGCGTCTGTAATTCACGTTAACTGTCATTTTAACAGGGCTGATCAGTTTGTCCAGCGAACAACAGACTTAAAACTAAATGTGCTCACCAGAGAAAGTGAACAGCCGACTCCTGATAAGCTTTTTCAACGGCGCTGGTTAAATTTACACGGTGCCGTGGGTACGGGTCACTCTAGCCTGATTGACAGGTCGCCATGGTAACGACTTGTCAATCACAGATATTTTCCTCTAAATGGGACCATAGTTTACTAAATGAACCTCATGCTGTGTTGAAGGAGACTTGAAACTAGCGACTGAGACCATAAACTCATCAGGAAAGTGTTTACTTACCAGAAGAGTCACCCCCTGCTGGCCTTACGATAGAAGGCAGATTTAAGGGCGCTTCCGCGTTGGCCTCGCTTCTCAGACCAATATTATATAGCTGCAGTACCGGAAGCTGCAGTTTTAGGACCCGCGCAATCCTGGGATCCCAGTTCTTTTGCGACAGCGGCATCTAGTGGAGTGGTGGTGGTAATGCACAGCAATACGAAGGATTAACCCTGTCCGGTCGACATGCATATAATCAATAACTTAGGTTAAGGCACACAGCCGGTGATGGTTGTGGTGAGGGTAATTGACTTCGGGGGTCTGTCAAGAGTAACATAGCTAGCCAGCCAGCCAGCTGGCAGTATCAAAGTAAACAAGTGTCCTAGAAATGCAGTTCCAGTCCGAGGATTGCGGTCCTGAAACTGCTGCTTCCGGTACTGCAGCTACATACTACTCTCTCAGACTGGAAGCTTCCCGCTTGGTTACAGTTTAGCAAGCTTACGTTGGCATGGTAGCACACTGTTGGCTTGAAAAGAGTGAAGTCACAATATTGCATACACCCTTTTTTAGTAGCAAGAGTAGAGACATCAACATTTCATTCAAACCATAGATTCCTGTGCCAACTGGTGTAAAAAATCTTCGTCTTTTATCTTCATTCCCTATTTGGTTTCTTTTTTCTTGCACACCACGTCAAGGCTCATTTCCTCCTGCTACTTGCAGCTGGCTGGAGGTCTCGTTGGGCCCTTTAGCAACTTGTTAAATCAGGGAAGTTGCTCTGACATCACTGCATTACAAAACCCCGAAGTCTTCTGATGTCACAACACTGCAGGGCAGAGCCAGGATTGGGAAAAACTCCACCCACCACCACCACCACCAACCCTCCCCCTTAGTCATGACCAGCGGGGCACAGCTGATCCGAGCAAGGGCCTTAACTGTCCAGTCGATTGTGCACCTAATTAAGCAGACAGCGAAAAGAGAAAAAGAGAGATGACGAGGAGACAAAGGGACAGCACAAGTGAGATCAGGACAAACTCAGTTATACAAGAGGAGCAAAAAGGGCTGAAGTCCTGCTGTAGACTGAGTAGAACAACATACCATTACTGTGTTACTTTGCTAGTAGTGGAGCTAAAGGGATAGCTCCAGAAATAAAGCTGTGTATCAATAGTCATTGTTTTATACTATTAATAAATGAAATTACTGTGTGCAGTGTGAAAGGTGACGCTCATTGTGACAAACCCATGGAGAATTCTCACCAACTGTGCATTTTACAGAGCTTTTAAGCCTCTTTTAGGCTACATCTACACTACTACATTTTTGTTTTAAAACGCAGACCTTTTGCTACGTTTGCACCTCCCATCCTGACTAAAACGGTGAAACAGTTCCACTTTGTTGTCAGTCCATGCAAAGAAATCTCTTGTGTGGTTCTTCGCCTGTAGTAGTACTTTCTTAGTCATTTTAATATAGACGGAGATCAATTCTGATACGCAGCTAAAACGCTGGTGTGGACAGAGATCGTTTCGTTTTAAAACTTTTTAAATGAAAACGTAGTCAATGTGTAGCCTTAGCTTAGAAACTTAATTATGAGACAGAGATGCTTCCACCTTTGTCCTTCATTAGGGTCACCAGAAAACACTTTACAAAAAAAAAAGACAGAAAAAAATGTGTCATTGATTGAGTTTAGTATTTAGTCATAATGCTTTTAAATCAGTCAAATATCTGTGCTGGCAGAGAGGTGAAGGTGTGTCCCATGTTGGATGTATAGTAAGTGACATTGTATTTGGTCCACAAACAGTACAGGTTCCTTACTGGTATAGAGGAAGATTTTTTCTTAAATGTGCACCTCAAGATCAAGAAGAGAGTATAAAATAATGCAATATGTTCGAGTACTTACTGAGGAGCCAAACGAGACTTTTCCAGTGATGAATCCACAAACCTCAGCAGGAACAGGCTGTTACTGATTAAAGCTTAATATACAGTATATACCCTATTTGATGAATACTGCAAATACACCCCTGTCTCTTTCAGGCAGTAGCTATATGTGCGGCTTGTGTCTATCTCTTCTGGATGATTGATGAATGTCCTGAATGTTCAGTCACTTGCACAAGACATCTAATTCTGTTTCATAAGACTAAAAGGTTGGGGTGGGGCTTATAAACTTTCGATTAAATAGTTGAAAGATGATTAGCAGTTACTGTATGAAAGCACACGATTACCTTCTTTTAGTAAGCTAAAACATGCAAAAACACACTGGCAGGCTCATTTGAGCTTGACCACTGTTGTTGGGTAGAAAAGGGTGAGTGCTGGGTCAAACCCCAATAAACAAACAATGTTCTGTGAATAGTTAATAAGAGATGCCCCCTCAGAGAGTTAGAGAGGCACAGAGAGAGGGAGGCCTGCAGCAATCTAACATCATGTTGTTGCAGCACAGATGGCCGACCAGATGTGAGGGAGAATTATCAAGTGTTTTCTGCGACAGCCATCTCATTTAGACTGCACCTCTGATTCTCTGTGCATTAGCTTATGCATTAGCTTAACCCACACAAAGACTTTGTGACATCATGTTGTGTGTGTAAACATGTAGATGTGCAGACAGCCAAGTGGTGATAATGTATGAACGGATGAAAGGATGTCCCTATATAGAAAAAGAACAATCCTGTTACTTTTGATCATTCAAGCGTTAATTTGAACACTGGTCCCCAGTGTCAATGTTATTCGCTTTAATATACCCTCCTGAATTGGAAAAACATCATCAGTAAACATAATCCAGGCAGCAATTACATTAATCTAATATGTATTTGGCAAATGTGTTCAGTCATTAAAAAGTCACGCTGTGAAGCCAAACATTATTCAAACCCACAGAAATGTATTTTAAATTCAAGTGGAAATCCCAAATGTTGCAGACTGAAGTTGAGGGAAATGTGTGTAAAATAACAATTTTATTTGATTGAACAAAGCAGACATGTCTCGGATTTGAATATTTCACTGAGTGTAAACTTCTGCTGAAACAAGCAAAAACCGCAAGTGTATAGGGTCCAACAGACACCTGCCAGTCAATGAAAGAAACAAATATTTTCCTTGACTGCCGTATATAATTAAATACATATTTTGTGGATAAATGTATGTAAGCATGTGTGCATGAAGTGCGAGTGTGATTGCACCGATGCCATAGTGCTGCTGAGGCTTGTGCCGGCTGCGTTGGACTCGGGGCATGTTGACATGGCCTCTAATCAGGTTAAGTTATTAAGACCTCCAATGGGAAGGGAAATAGGTCAGAAGCAGCTAAACGCAGAGAGACAGAGAGAGAGAGAGAGAGAGAGAGTGTGTGTTTGAGTGAGGGAAAACGTGAGGGGAAGCAGCAGACGGACGCAGCTCGACAGATAGAGCATCAGTTTGCTTCAGTGTGTCCGGAGCAGCACATGGTGTTAAACATCCAGCGCTGCTCTGTATTATGTAAGGTTTACTCATCAACAACCTGGATTTCTGTATTTGTGGACCGCAGTAATGCAGTCTGGACTTGAATTTGTCTGCTCTTCTGCCTTTTTTACTTGAGTATCGGTTCTTGGATTGTCTTCAAGCTAAAGCTGGATGTAAAGTTTTCTTCGTGGGAGAATCATCCCGAAGCGTCTTCTTTCCCACGTGGGACACCGCAACTTATTTATGAATTCACTCTTGCGTCAGAGAGGAAGCTTGCAGCGTGTTTTTGCTCGTGGACAAATGGGCCATGAAAACTAACAAACAAGCAGAAGAAAGAGGAAGTGCTGCTTTTGTGGATGATCATTCATTCAGCTTCTGTTTCTCTCTTTCTCTGACGGGCAGTGCAGCGTGAACACACGAGCCCTCGAGATACGGACATCCGTTAATATACGCACATCCCTCTCTCCTTCTCCTCCCTCTTCGTATTGCTCTTTTGTCACTACATCTTTCTCTCAAGGCTGCTGCTGCTGCGTTTGCTGGTGGGACAGGCTGTGTCCAGAGTGAGAGGAAGAGGATTTCCTTCGAGGGCACGATTCAAGACTTCAATGCAAAAACACTCATTTTTGGACCAGAGTCCAGAAAAGTAGAAAGAGAAAAGGGAAATTTAGCAGACCAAAAAAGGAGAAAAGAGCAAGAGTGGGCTAATTACAAAAGTTTTTATATTTAAGAATTTAAATTCATTTCATGTTTCATCACTTGCTGGTGGGGTAAAATATCAAGACTTTTATTTGAGCTGCACTCAGGATACAATTTGCTTGATGTATGCCGACAGCTGTTCCTGCTCCTGCCATCAAACCATCTGACAGATCGGCCGTGGTTAGACGTCGCCCTGTTGTTGCCACTAACGCACAAATCCTTTACATCTGCTGTGTGAGGCTTCAGTCTGCACCTTCCACACACTCATCTTTCCATCCTTGCTGTTCTAGCTACCTTAAAATCTGGTTTAGGATCTTTTTGGGTTGCTACCTGTGGTCCTAGCTAGCCCTTACACCCCCAGGATCTGTGTGTAGGTTTGTTTAAGCAGACCGAAATCCATCTCTCTGAGAAGCCTGAACCTAATCGGAGGATTTGCCCTGCTTTTCACCTGATCTACCCACACGCTCAGTCATCCCTTTATCCCTTGTTCACACTCTGCCTGTCCACCGAACCTGCTGTCACACACAGTCTGGGGTCAGGCTGGGTCAGGACCTCAGAAGCTAAGCTAATGAGCCACGCTCGGTTTCCTCTGGTGACACGGCCGGGAGTAAAAACCGCAAAGGTGAAAGTTTTATCTTATCCAGGAGTCTGAGAGAGAGAGGGAAGAGAAAACTGGGGCGGGATGGTCAGTCAGTAGCCCGGGGTGAGGGCTGTCGGCCGGGGGAAGCAGAGAAGGCTGAAGGTGGATGATGGCTCCTTTGTGGAAGGCCATGCTGTCCAAGAGCAGCCCGCTGTACAGAGACTCTCTGTTCTCCTTCTCTCTGTGGGAGTGGAAGGCTCAGGAGAGAGAACTACTGCTGCTGAAGAAACTCACCGACAGGGAGAGGAGAGCATTGCTCGCACAACTCGACAAGTAAGAAACAAGGAACAACAACATGGGATAACCATAAAGATAATTTTTTATGTAGCACTTTTAAAACAACATTACAGTGTTCTTCTTTACAAGAAGATAATAGTTGGTGCAAAGTCACGTGGCAAGCTAAACATTCGTCCATTAAAGGTTTAAGAGTTTTTATTAGAAGCAACTGTCTAAACAATATTAGACAACAAATTCAATGATAGTGATTTGAGAAATCAAATTACTATTAAAACTATTATTTCGACCAAAGGTGTTGTAAAAATATCTAAATATGCACGTATGATTTTTGTCAATTTAAAACATTATTTTGAAAGTCAAGGAAGTTGCAGTCTGTGGAAAGACTCTGAAAATACGTATTTAGAAAGACCGCAAACCCAAAAGTGGCTTATGTGAAGTCTTAACTGTTCATCCCAATGTCCTGAAGCTAACGTCAAAGAAGTTACATGAGTAGGTGATGTGATGAAAGGACAAGAAGTCGCAAGCAATGGACAAATTTTTCCCAAATAAGGTCCACACGTCCAACACGTATGTTCATGTACAGGTTAAACAAATGAGACAGAAAATAAATTGGCAAAGAGGTTTTGACGCGGACAATATTTTTAAAACTTTGCACAGAACCATGCTAGATGTTTCTCCCTCCTTCCAGCGCTGTACTTAACACAAAGACATTCTCATTTCACTCTTGGAAAGAAAGCAAGTAAAGAGTTTTTTGGGGGGGGTTGAGATCTGTTTGGAAAGAAAATATAAGGATTAACAAGGACGCTGTAGTTGTAAATGTGACATGATCATTAACAGATAGAAACATACTGTAGATTGACTTTGATGTTGAAATCATCGTGTGACTGTGGGTCTGTAAATGTGTGTGTGTGTGTTTATTGCATGTGTGTGCATCAGCCCGTTTGATTTAGACAAATGACCTTCGCCTCAACATCTGTGTCCCAACACGTCACTGTTAATTAAATCAGCTGTAGGGGACACACTGCATACGCAACTTGTGTCACCATTTGTGAGTGTGTAGTTTGTCTTGTTGTCCCTCCAGCTTCCTCTCTATGTCTGCCCTTCCTGTCAGTATAAATATCTTGTTCTTGTGAGAGTGTGACTCTCCATTTTTACCTGGGTGACGTGGTACAGTGCCAGGTAAACACAAGTCACTAAGAGGCTTCCCCAAAGCAACACGATGCGCTCAGCAAAGCCTTTATGGGACGGTCCAGATTAGCAGGCAGGTGACTCACACACCTGGTACATTATTACTCATTAATGTTCTGAGTATGAAACAAAACCTCATCTGATAGACCAGTGCAGGAGCAGGTTAGATCATATTTTAATGAATGATCGGTTTTATCTACACCAGCTGTTCCTTACAGTAAAATTCATTAATGAAAGATCTAAAAAGTAGTGATGCAATTTGAAAAGTTTGATCAGTTAAGTCATTCATTAGGGATCCAAGCAGCGAAGCAAAAACTGTACGACTAAAACTTAGTATTTTCGGTTTCTCCAATTGGCAGGATCATTTTCAGACTTTGTTGATTTAAGTTATGAAAGAGTTTTGCTTTGTCAAAAAGGTTTTGAAGTTATAAATTTTTACATTTGTGTCTTAAAGTTTAATTTAACATAAATCATCATAAATCAAAATTCGCTAAAGCTATTGTAACCAAACTTGGAGCGTGTGTTTGGATGCTAGGTCGGAGATTTCGTTGGGCTGTCCTGGGATATTGTGCCATTAGGGGGCGACAAAAATGTCTCATAATTGGCTGTAATAATTGCCTCACTGAACCTATGATCAATTCAGGTGTCTGTCACTATATTTTTCCAAAAGCTTAACATAGCTGCGCAAAATAATTGCGATTGGCCCTGGTGCAAATATTTTTCTTGTGCCCTCCGCCCCAAAAAGCATGTTCGTGTGCACATGGGCCAAACGCAAATCTTACAGCCTGTCCTTGACTCAAACCACCACAGCTTGCTGTCTGCGTCTATCAAATAAACCGAAATAGCTTTAGCCAGACTACAGTAACAAATCAACACAAAGTAGCAGACACAGGATGTCAATAACCACAGAACAAATGGCAAACAAGAAAAGCACAGCAGCTCATTATGCCTGCACTGTCTGATGCTGAATCAATTAACATCAATCTGTATCTTTCAAAGTCTTTTAAAAGTCTTCAGTCTGAGCTAAGGCCTTGTCCACACGTACACGGGTATTTTTGTAACTGGAGTTTTTCCTGAGGCTGGTTCCGTGTGTGTACGTTTAAAGTGACCATAGATACCAGAGTCTGGCACATGTGATGTCATTGCATCAAGTTGTGAGAAGGTGGCTGGAAACCAGCTCTCACCAGTGGCTCGGTAAAGTCAGTAAATCACCTTCTCTTGGGAATTCATGCATGTGGTGTGTTTTCACCAGCTCAGTGAGGTCATATTAAGTCAAGATTGCCTATTGTAACTTGGACCCGGTGAAAATGTCTCTCTCCCACTACTCAGGAACATGAAATGAAAATCAATGACCTCAAGGTGACGCTGTTATAATCAAGTTTACATTTTTGTAATTATCTGAGACGGCTTGGCTAAGAGACAAACTTCATCATTTTAATCTCTCAAATCATTTGCATTTGCTTGACACACGTTTATAGATTACATCTATTGAGCCATTAATTATAGAAATGGCTAACATTAAATTGAATTGCACTTTCCCCAGCCAAATTTATCTTGCTTATCTTAAAATGAGCAAATGTACATGTAAGGGTTGCACTAGATTAATATGGAATTGTGGTCTGGAATAAAGTAAATGGATTAACTTGACTGATAACTAAAACCCATATTAATTATATATTGTGTGTGTGTGTGTGTGTGTGTACAGGCTCAGTAAGGAGCTGCAGCAGAAGGACAAGATCATCGAGTCTCTCCGCACCAAACTAAACCAGCATCACCATCATCATCCTCATCGCTCCGACACGCCCTGCAGCAGCCATGCGCTCTCTGACACCACTGACCAATCAGATCGTATCTCCTATGTGTCTGATGAGCATGGATCCACCAACGAGGACCTGGAGCTTTGCTCTGATGTGGATGCTGCCAGCGAGCTCGGTCAGAAGGAAACACGCACTTCCACCAGACTCAGCACAGGTGAGAACATGACACCCGTCATCTGGCTTCCGGTGTATTTGTGCAAGTGAAGAGAAAATACTAAATCAATCTATACTATATTTGATATGGATGAATCCACATGTGGTACTTTAGTGAGTATTTGGGGCAGCAGGACGTTGTATGTGGGACTGACACACAATCTGTTCCCTCCATCATGTCCTTTGGTGACAGCTGACTCTTTTCATTTCCAGATTGCCGCTCTCACAGTGGCTCCATGTCACGTCACCCGTCTGTCCCTCCATCCATCACCTCATCCCACAGATCCAGTCGTGCCTCAGCTGTCCCAGCATGCAATGCCCGAGCTCACCACACAAACCCATAGACGTGCAGAGTCAGACAGGTAGGAATGGGCGCAGGGGAGTTGCCGAGGCTTTAAAGAAAGAAACTTTCTTTTATGTGTATTCTGCTGCATTCACCTCACACCTCTGAACTGTTGCTTTGTGACGTCTTGTTCTTTCGTGCCTTTCTTTCATCTTTGTGCTTTGATTCTTCTTTTCCTCCCAGCTCCAGCCTCAGTCCTCACCTCCACCCCTTCCACCCTCCCCTCTCCTCCTCCACCCAGAGGGTTACTTTGCCCTTCCAAGCCCACCCCGCACCCCTGAGAACCCGCTACCAAGGCAGCGGGGGCGTGGGTTTCTCCCTGGCTGAGGTGCATCAGGAGCTGCAGATGTTACAAAGGCAGCTGGCAGACAATGAGAGTGCGTCGGTCTCGCTGTCCGTGCATGTTTAGATCTAATTGTGTGTTTGAGGCTCAATAAACCTGTGCAGCATACCTGAATGAGAATTTCAACAAAATCAAGCCATCGCTGCTTAAAGGATTTTTAGGGAATAGTGTATATTCTGCTCTCACACACAGAAGGGGATAATGACCAGCTGAGCCAGTGGACACGAGCAGATTTTCAAGCCAAAATCGAGTTTAAACTTCCAGAGAGTAGTGACTTGTTTTTTTCTAACTTTATTTCTAGATTTATCACATTCACAGTATGTTAGGAGCTGGAAGAAGAAGAACAAATAACAGACTATCCTGAGTAGCTCACTGTAAGTTCTAGTTGACAGATTCCTCAAGCATATTTTACAAAGGAAGCACAGGGGACAGCCTGATGATACTGATGATGGCTGAACAGAAAGCCAAAGTACAGTGCAACAATTTTAGTGTAACAACCATAACTTCTGCAGCCTTGAGTTTGCATGGCATCTGCACTCATCAGGATGTGTCTCCCAGTTTGAGCTGTTCAGAGAAGCCTCTTGACCTCATCGTGAGGTGCCCTAGATGCTTCAACAGCTTTCAGACACGTTTGATTGAATTCAATCTTGCCAAAATCAAGCGCATGTTGACGACGCACCTTGGAGATGAGTCTGAGACGATGCAGTCTTTGATACTACCACTGGATGGCGCCAAAGTTTGATATTGTTTTCACACAGTGGGTTTAATGAAAATAGGTCTGATTGATCCACTGTGTAAGGGAGGAGAGATTTATGACCTTTTGATCTAAGAAGAAGTAGAGAAACAACTGAATAATTGTTATCTGTATGGGACTCAATTAAAATTTGTTCAAATGTGTTGCACTAGATAACCGCCTCACCCTCAGTATGAGGATCAGTGATGTTACTGCTGCTGCATGTAGATACACAGGGAGTGAAATAAAGTGAGAGTTGACCAGCTTTAATAATCCGCATCTCCCCTAATGCCTTTGCTTCTTTCTTTTCATCTTCCATTTGCCTTCATCTTAACCCCACTGCACTTTCATTCTCATTAAATAACTGTTCTTCATTTGATGCTTAATGAACCCAGAGCACCCAGCTTGAGAAGGATTTGCTGTGATTTTTAAACACTAATGAGGGATGGAGCTTTGAGAAACCCCGAACCAGACCGATTTCATTCGGCCGATTAAATTGTTTCCTACGTCAAAAGAAATCCCTTCATTTCTCTTAAGTATTTCACTCTCCTCTTTATTTGTGTCTCACAAACAGACTCTAACTTCTTTTGAAATACAAAAGTGTCTGTCTCTGTCCCTCCCAGGCTTTTCATTAAAATTTGCTTACTTACTTACTTGATGTTACTTTATCTTCCTCTCAGGGTTTTCCGCGCCTCAGTCCAAACCTCTTCAGGGTTTCCCCTTTTCCCACCAGCAGCCCGACTCCTCTGCCTTCCTGCCTCTCTCCTACCACGGATACCAGCCTTCTCCTTTCAGCAGCGCTACCAGCAGCTGCCTGGATGCCAGCTCAGCAATGAAAGCTGGGGCCAGTCTTCTGGAGAGCAGTGCATTGTGGGATATGGCCTATGGCACCCGACCACTGAGACTTGGAGCCGACCTGTCCTCAGGATCCTCGGGGTACAGTCGGGCGCCAGCAACACAGGTAAGATACACAGTTAAATCCTTAATGTGAAAATGTTTCACTGGAGGTTAGATGTTAATTTTTGACCTTTTGGGGAAAGTTTTAGAAGCTTTTAACTACTTCTGAGTTTTAAGATCTTTGTTGTTTCATAATCTCTACTTGTTTAGTAATGCTGTGCAGGTTATATACACATTAAGCTGCGTTACCAAAAAACTTTAATGCAACTTTACAACAAATAGAGAACCGTGGGACAAAAAATCTCTGGTCTCTGAGAGCAGATTGTCAATCATGTTTTTTTTTTTTTGTTGTTGTTGCAGGTTCAGACCTGATGAAGGAGCACCTGCGAGAGATCAGGACTCTGAGACAGAGACTGGAGGACTCGATCCAGACCAACGATCGCCTCAGACAACAACTAGAAGAGCGACTGGCCCGCACCTCCTCGGAGAAAGGTAACACACACACACACACTCAAAAGTCTTAATCATGGAACTTGGAATAGACAGTATGGATCCTGAAATGCTCTTCAGATGTCAGCTATAAAATATCTATAATGATTTATGCACATTTCATAATTACATGGTATGCCTTTGTTTCACTTAGTTTTATACTGATTTCCTTGAAATTTTTCCAAGAAATGTCCTTGAAAGAAACTGTTAATTTGTAAGAACCTGAAAAAATGTATGTAATTTGGTAGGAAAATAGAGAAAGTGTTTGTTCAGTTGGAGATTTAAAGCATAATTTTGGTATTTTAAACCTTTTCACAATTTTCACATATGTTGGTGTCGAAATGACTCGTAGGTTACACCAGGTGTCCGACAACGTCATGGAAAGGATCCTTAAACTAAACTGAAGTCTCGCTCAAGCACAGTTCTTGCTCTGAAATCTCGTGAGAGGCGAGTTGTCGTAGGAAACGGCGGTGAAAACGATGGAGTGGAGTTTGTTGTGTATGTAGAGGAGCTGCTAGCGAGACTTTACTCCAACAGAACAAACTTCTCTCTCCAACTCTGACCCACGTCTACGCCGTCGTCTTCCTGCAACAAATCGCGTCCTGTGAGATTTCAGAGCGAGACTTCGGTTTCTTGTTAAAAGCAAAGGAGCCCCTCGTAGGGATCCTTTCCATGATGTTGTGTAACAGTCTGAACTTGTCGGTGGCAACTAGCCGCACTTCTTATGAATAAGATTTTGACGGACGCAGTGGCCCCGAAGGAACATGTTGCAGCCACTGAAGCATCAACTGCACGGATACCAAAACTTGTTGGACCTACTAGTGATTTTCACACCAACATATGTGAAAATAAGGCAGAGGTTTAAAAAAACAAAACTTTACATGCTTAACGTCTCCTTGTCCTCTTCAGGTGCTCCTACCAACATCTACATCCAGGGTCTGGACTCAGTCGGCCAGCTCTCCAGTGAGATCAGACTTCTGAAGGAGGAGAACGTCAGCCTGCAGAACCAGCTGAAGCAGGCCACCAGAGGTACAGCCTGATGTTCACCACCCAAAAACACGTCCATGACATTTTTATCATCATCTGTTGTGTTTTGAAAAGTTGTTTTTAGCAGATTTGCTGAGCTCTGTGCTGTCATGTGTCCCCTGCAGAGGGCAATAAGGAGGCAGAGCAGCTGAGGGAGGCAGCTCTCCTGGAGCAGGCCAGGTTGAAAGAGGCGGAGCTAGAGGCTGAGAGGTGGGCGGAGCAAAGCAGGAAGCTGCAAACTGAGGCTGAAGCGCTCAACCAAGAGATTGCGCAACTGAAACAGGACAGACAGAGGAACCAGGAAACCATCAACAGGTGTGTGTGTGTTCATGTACTTTGTTTTGAAAAGGGAGGACGTGTTTGAGGGTTAGATAGACTCTGATGAGTTGTGCTTAGAGAGTTAAAGAGCAACTTAACGCCTGCTGAAAATCTTTGGTGGTTTAATTTCTCTGTTATTTAATTTTATTATTATTTTATTATAATTTCATTATTAATTTATATATATTATAAGTCTCTATATTGTGTTTACAAGCTGGACTGTAAATTGATTTCCAATAAAATGTATTTAAAAAACCTCAGAGGGCAGTCAGATACTGCTCTATTGTTACGGGCTAGAGAATATATTATGTCCAAGTTAGCAGATGTTTTGCTCAGTTGCTTCATATCAAAATGAGCTGAATATGACTAAAATAACATATTATTTTATGTATATGTCTGTGTTTTCATAGATTCCAGCATGAGGTGAGCATCCTTCAGCAGCAGCTATGTGAGAGCCACAGTCTGGTCCAATCTCTTCAGCGTGAGCTGCAGGTGTATCACAGAGTGTGTGGAGTCACCGCAAACACACACTCAGGTAAGACGTTGCACTCCCAGAGACATTTTAAGCCTCTAAGATTTGTTTTTGTACAGTGACCCGGCACCGGGAATCACGGCTCCATTCAGGGACGTGATGATGCTGAAATTGCTTCACAATTTTTAAAAAAATTTGAATGTTCTTAAAACAGTGACAGCATTTGAGCGGCTTTTACATTTATTTACTCAGGGACACAATGGTGGATGGTCACAGTGGGGAGTTGAACCCCAATCTCTCACACCAAAGGCATCTGTCTTATCCACCCTATTAAAAGCATAATAATATAATATACTTGAAAATGTGATTTAATTTCCCAAACATATTTCTTAAAAAGAGCGGGATAGGTTAAAATGACCGAACTCTGTTTCTTCTCTCACTCATACAGAAACTAAATATACTGGCTAATGTTTGTGTTACACATCTTTTGTTTGCGTCTTTCTAAGCAGGTCAGTCCAGTGAAGGTACCCAACACACTGCAACCTTTGACCCCAGAGAGTTGCACATACAGCTGGAGCAGCAGCTGAGTGGACAGACTGGCCCACTGCCTCGGTCCAGGAGGCAGCTCTTCAATGGTCAGTACATCAGCATCTTGAAATAAGATGGAATAAAGCAGATCACAACACTAGATTTAAGGAAAATGACTCTCAGTAACAGAGAGATATGTCGTGTTAAGGAGATTTTTGCAGTTCAATAACTGATAGAGATCTTCCTCCACAGACGACGTTCCCTCCCCTCCCGTGAGAGACACTGGACTCGTCAGTCCTTCCTCTCCTCTACATCCTGCACAGAAACATGCAGAAGACACCGGAGCAGCCGATCGAGGTGAGCAGCTCTCTTTCACGCGTGAACAGATCTACCTTCATCTTTACGTATGAAAGCAGATATTTGTTACAACCAACTTGCCTCCATAAATCACATGGGAGCACTTCATTGCACGTATAACTTGTTTCTACCGCCTGCTCTTACATCTTATTTCTCTCGTCTTCCCTCCCGGCAGCCTCGACCCTGCAGGGTCAAGCCCCAGACGGCTCTTTCTCCAACCGTCATGGCCGCCATGCAGTGGGCCACATTGACGACTTCAAGGCTCTGCAGCGGCAGATCCTGGAGGGCAGCGCTCTCCTCCGCAAGATGGATGCCACCCTTCATTCCCTGAGCAACCCACCGGAGTTCAGCCTTCATCAAGTGAGAATACAATAATGTGTACAATTATTTATAGCATTATAGCACAAGAACTATTATAATTATAGACAAGAGTTTCTGGTTTGTCTAAGTTTTACGTTATTATTTTTAGATGCTGGTCATACTAAGGGAGTTTTTTTACCTCTCTTTGCTTTTAAGGACTTGATGATTTTGGGATTGACAAGAAAAATAGCTGACGGATTAATCATTAGTTTGTGTTTTGTGTGCGTCAGCCTTCAGACTCCGGTTCTGTCAGGAAGCTGCTGTCTGACAGTAAAACCCTGCGGCAGATCCTGGAGGAGGCCGGCTCTCTGCTCCGGATGTTCTGGAGAGCAGCTCTGCCAAACTTCGAGGAATCCAAACAGGTCAGACTAAAAGCTGAAAGGAAAGGAACCAAGAGCAGAGGGGTTTTTGAAACCCTGTCCTCTTTGATCCTCCTTTGTGACTTTGTTCCTGTTAGTTTCTTTTCAACATCTTATATTTACTGAAACACCAGCTGATATGTTTTGGCTGTTAAACAGAGGTAATAGCTGAATCACTGGAGACTGAAGTCTACAGCGGTCAGTGTCAGACATTTATTAAGTGACAAAATTATTTGGTCGCTAAGACTCCTAAAACTTGATGTGACAGGTGAACTTCCAAGAAGTGAAATGGTATGCAACAAAAGACAATTTACTACAGCTTTTGCTGCTGTTTGGGCGAGCTACTTGGAAAATGTAGTGAGCTAAGCTACTAGTTACTCTACAATAAATGAAGCTCCACTACACAGAAGCTACCCCCCAGGAAACTGTAGCAAAAGTAGTGTACTACATCTAAGCTACTTTTAATTAGTTTTATTATTTTATATATATATACGCACACACACACACACAGTATAGGTTTAGTAGTACTAGTTTATATTGAGCCAACTTCATTCCACAGTAGCAAAAGAAGAAAGACTACAGAGTGAGAGAGAGAAATCTAAGTCAAAGCAAAATGTGTTTCCTCATGCAATCAACTGAGAACCATTGTTGTTTGTATAAAATTAAATGTAAAATGATCACATTATCATCATTGATATTGTTTGTTATTTTAATAATTGTTCCTTTGTAAAGTTCCACTGCTTGTCAAAAAGCAAGACACATTTTCTATGTCACATATTTTGTGTTTTGATTGTTTTTTCTTCTTTCTTTAGTTTTTATAATGTAATTTCATTGTTTATTAAATTATATCTTTTTTTATTGTTTATATGTCAATATGTGCTCTGGCAACACTGTTTACCTAAAGATTCATGGCAATAGGCTGGACCCTGATCCTTCTCACAAGAGCTGTTACAACAACTATCACAAGAGAAAGTAAACTCAGTCGCGCGTGTCTTTATTCCCCTGCAGCAAAGTTGCAGGCAGAAATGCTCGAGGAAATGTAGCCTGGACGCAATTGTGCTACTCGGCCAGTAGAAGAGCTTCGCTATTGAAAAGCTATTTGATTCAGAAAACAGCGACGCTACCACCAAGCTACTGAGAAATGTAGTTAAACTAGTGACTGCCCAACTGCCCAACACTGGAAAACAGTAATTGATTACATAAATAAAACCCTGTGGATGAACCTTGGAAACCTATCCTTAAAATAAATAATTGTTAAATGGTCTAGCAGGCTGATTGGTGAGTCACAGCTTAACTCAGCACCCCTGTACACCAGGAAGTTACAGTGGATAAGTGGCTCAATGTTAAATTAAATTCAGCCAACACAGTATCCACACAGAAATACAGTAAACGATGACTGCCACACTTTGCACTCTGAATTTCAGTTTCTTCCTTCTAGAGGAAGGTTTCTAGTCCCAAAGTGCTGAACAAAGCACAGATGATACAGAATCAACACTTTATCTGTTTACTTTCTTCACATGTTTATTTATTTTAATGTTTGTAACATTGAGTATTTTTTGTATGTTTATATACTGACTAATGTCTATTGTCGCTGTTGTTTCTAAAATGTGAGGATGACTCGTCCACACTGCAAAACAAATCTACGTATGAGCACAAGTAAAGTAACCTGAATAAAGTAAAGATGTGTGGACAAACACACAAGAATGTGCTGTGTGTGTTGACAGGATCCGTCTCTGAGGGAGGAGGTCGTTTCTCTCCGTCTGAGGCTCTCAGAGCAAGAACAGGCTCTCAAGGATGCCATGGAGAGAGTGAAGAGCTCCAACCGCACCAAAGATAGCATGGAGCACTTTATAGTCAGCCAGCGTGAGTCCCTGATGTTCCTACTAGATCATAAATAAAACATATTGCTTTTTCTTATTACAGAAAAAAATAATAACCCTGAAATTCTGTCAGTTATGATGAATTAATGATATTTATATTTTATTTTTTCTTATTTTATCTCTTAGTCACTGCATAATACTTATTTTAATTTTTATTTTTAATTTTTATTTATTTATAATTATACTCATATTTTCTACAACTAGAGTTATGGATAAGATGAATTACCATCAGATGGGATAATCTTTCATCACCGTCTGTTTCACTGTCTGGCGTCGTCTTCTTCCAGCTCTCTCCTCTTTCTGTCCCACAGCAGCTGTGGTGTTGTTGACCGAGTCGGTCTTGTATTTACTGCTCGACCGAAACCTGTCTGTTTAACCGATGAAAGAACAAGCGATGGCTCACAGATGCTCTGTGCTTTTGTTTCCAGTGTCGAGAACACAGGACGTCTTGAGGAAAGCCAAGACGAACTTACAGGTGAGTTCACGAGTTCTCACATGTTCACCGGGCATCATAAGCCTTTTCCTTCCAGCAGGGGATTAACCGAGGAGTTGGATGAGATGATGGGACACACTTGATTTTCTTAACTAGCAGAGAAACGTGATCAGAAGTGGATCAGTAAAAGTAAAAAGTCTCCGTAACGCCCTCTCACTTCTCTCCCGCTGTTTCTCTTTCCTCGGACTCCTGCTGAGTCTCCTCAGGAGAACGAGCTCAGGATTTCTTCCCTTCGCTGTGCCTCTTTCTCCATTCCCTCTTTTTCACCCTCCTCCTCATCCTCTTCCTCACACCCCCAGCTTGATAAAGGTATGGTCCCCTGTGCTCGGATAACATAACGAAGCTGCTTGTTATTTGATGGAAACCCTGGTATTAAAACAGTGCTGCATGAAGCCGGCTAAGTCGTTTCATTTTAAACTTATTTTCATAAACCAGTAACTGTCAGCGTGCTTTTACTGGCAGACTGGGACGCCTCGTACACAAAAAGGCAACCCATATTAGCTTTTTGCTTATGTTTCCATCTTGTCTAATAACATGGACACATGACTTGTGTTACTTTTTGTCTCACTGCACGAGCTGTAAAAAGGAACATACTGTGGAGTAAAAGGGGCACAGCTTCATTAGATATCTAACTGTTACAGGCCTCAAGCATGAGGGACCTGCGAACAGATACTGTGTCCTGTTTTGTACAGGAAAAGCAGAGACAGGAGTTCAGCAGGCTGTTCTGTCTTTATTAAACAGAATATATCTCTTTTTTTTTTCTTTCTTCATTTACTACTTCACCACTCTCAGTCTCGACTGATACTATGACTCACACTTACTGCTGTTTAACATCTCCAAAATCATATACATCCTGTAGCTTTGATACTTTCAAGCCTGCTTATTTCACACTTTTACAAAATATAAAACAACACAGAGGCCTACGTTACACAGAATACAACCCTTTTTATCCTAACCAACATGTTACAACTATATTCAGTATTATCACGTTGACATGAACTGAATTAAGGACATGACACATTCTCAACCATAGGTGTGATTTACACTGGGGACGCTGGGGACATGTCCCCACCACTTTTGAAATGGCTCATTTTGTCCCCATCACTTTTGAAATGGCTGATTTTGTCCCCATCACTTTTGAAATGGCTCATTTTGTCCCCACCACTTTTGAAATGGCTCATTTTGTCCCCATCACTTTTGAAATGGCTGATTTTGTCCCCATCACTTTTGAAATGGCTGATTTTGTCGCCACCACTTTTGAAATGGCTGATTTTGTCCCCACCACTTTTGAAATGGCTGATTTTGTCCCCATCACTTTTGAAATGGCTGATTTTGTCCCCGTCACTTTTGAAATGGCTGATTTTGTCCCCACCACTTTTGAAATGGCTGATTTTGTCCCCATCACTTTTGAAATGGCTGATTTTGTCCCCACCACTTTTGAAATGGCTGATTTTGTCCCCACCACTTTTGAAATGGCTGATTTTGTCCCCATCACTTTTGAAATGGCTGATTTTGTCCCCATCACTTTTGAAATGGCTGATTTTGTCCCCATCACTTTTGAAATGGCTGATTTTGTCCCCACCACTTTTGAAATGGCTGATTTTGTCCCCATCACTTTTGAAATGGCTGATTTTGTCCCCATCACTTTTGAAATGGCTGATTTTGTCCCCACCACTTTTGAAATGGCTGATTTTGTCCCCATCACTTTTGAAATGGCTGATTTTGTCCCCATCACTTTTTGAAATGGCTCATTTTGTCCCCATCACTTTTTGAAATGGCTCATTTTGTCCCCATCACTTTTTGAAATGGCTCATTTTGTCCCCATCACTTTTTGAAATGGCTCATTTTGTCCCCATCACTTTTTGAAATGGCTGATTTTGTCCCCACCACTTTTGAAATGGCTCATTTTGTCCCCATCACTTTTGAAATGGCTCATTTTGTCCCCATCACTTTTTGAAATGGCTGATTTTGTCCCCACCACTTTTGAAATGGCTGATTTTGTCCCCATCACTTTTGAAATGGCTGATTTTGTCCCCACCACTTTTGAAATGGCTGATTTTGTCCCCATCACTTTTGAAATGGCTGATTTTGTCCCCATCACTTTTTGAAATGGCTGATTTTGTCCCCACCACTTTTGAAATGGCTGATTTTGTCCCCACCACTTTTGAAATGGCTGATTTTGTCCCCATCACTTTTGAAATGGCTGATTTTGTCCCCACCACTTTTGAAATGGCTGATTTTGTCCCCATCACTTTTTGAAATGGCTGATTTTGTCCCCACCACTTTTGAAATGGCTGATTTTGTCCCCACCACTTTTTGAAATGGCTGATTTTGTCCCCACCACTTTTGAAATGGCTGATTTTGTCCCCATCACTTTTGAAATGGCTGATTTTGTCCCCACCACTTTTGAAATGGCTGATTTTGTCCCCACCACTTTTGAAATGGCTGATTTTGTCCCCATTACTTTTGAAATGGCTGATTTTGTCCCCACCACTTTTTGAAATGGCTGATTTTGTCACCACCATCAATTTTTGAAAGTATTTAAGATGGTTCTGATAAATTGCTTACAACAAGAAATGTTAAATAACAAAGGTTTATTTGCACAATAAGAAACATGCAATGCAATATAAATATCTAAGAAACGAATGTGCATTGTCCAAGAAAGTACCATAAACTAAAAACAAACAAGTTGCTAAGTACCACATTATATTACAATATATTTTATATTTTGTATTGTCACCTTACACCTGAATTTTGTGTTTCCTTTATTTATATATATACACACCTCTTAACATCCCTTTAAATGGCCAAAACAACACACAAAATGCAGTATTCTACTTGCCAGAAAGTGACTGCAGCAAATCTGGTCACCTTACCCCAAATCATATATCACAGTAGTGAAAATCTATTCTAATATCTTGTCGTTTTGTTCACGTTTCTGCACCCCCAATCTGAGCCCTTAAATGTCCCCACCACTTTTCAGCACAAAGTGACGCCCTTTGTTCTCAACTCAAACTTTTAAATAACCGTACTTCAATCTATAGCCTTAGCAAATACAAAGAAAGGTGCACATGTCCAGGAGCAATGACCATAAATAAAACATCGACAGAGGAAGGCCGCGCCATCTTAGTTACAGTTTTTACACGGGAGCCAACTAAACTTCAATTCAAAGTCTCTCAACTGGATAAACCACTGTTTACACATAAAACGTTGTCAGAACAACATAATGAAGACTTTAAAAGTGCTTATAAATGTACTGCAGCCCTACTAGCGCTCACATAAGTGAACACTTCCTCTTGTGGCGTCATTGAGCAATTGCACCCTCAAAAATACATTCACATTGTGCCCTTTTGTAACAGGCTATTACACAAAACAACTTAACAATTGTGACAACGTCTTTGTAGGTGTCACATAAGGAACTTAGCTGTAACACAGTGAGCAGCTTAAAAAGTCACCAGTTTGACCTTGTAAGCTACAGTTGCCTGTTGGCTGAGCCGTCCAGTCAAACATGCGCACTGAGGCTTTCAGGCTGGAGCAGCGTTTCTCAAACATAAAGACCCTTTTCATGCTTTTAAGAATAAAAAACGAAACATTTGAATATCATCTTGACAGTAAGTTTTGTCTGCAACAGAGATGACTTTTGTGATTTCAGTTGGAGCCTTTAAACACTAGTGGCTCTTTGGAGCAATGTTTTAATACATGGGTCCCTGTTTGTTTGTCTTTTTAATATCTCTTGCTTTACTAACACTCGCACAAGCACATGAGTATACACACATTATTACTACAGTGATGCTGACTACCGAGGCGGGTGCATGCAAGCCGTAAAGTGTGAAGAACACAAAGAAAACGGGTAGATGAGATACCGAGGAAGACCATAAGAAACACTAAATGGAAACAGAACTTTGTTTGTTTATAAGAACACTCTACAGAGTACTGTTACACTGGAATGATTAGTTTTGCATGGCGTGTTCTGTTTAACACAAAACAGGAGTGTGAAGGTTAATATTTTACTCACTGGAAATGTTTGGAATTTCAGTTTGTGTTTATTCTAACACCCATAACCCACCGAGTATAAAGGTTTGAAGGGAGAAACATTACAAATCATTCCCTTAGAATTACCATCTTGTGTGCGCAGTAAATGTTAGTTCCTTTAAATTAATCATTTGCACACCTACCCAGGAGTTACGTCATTTCACCTGAGTAAGTCGTGCATCAAATTGCATAAATTGGCCCCCGCCTCTTTCTTAATTTAGACACCCTTCTTCCCTCTGCTCAGGTTCTTTGCTCTTTTTGTTTATATATCTGTAAATTTGTGGAACTACTTGCCCCAGATGTCTGTGATATTACAAAAGGGTGTAGGCCTCCTCACACTAGGCAATCCGTTATGTTTCAATCGCCTGAAAAATGCCATTAACCGCTATTGCTCAAAGAGAGACTGCAATTCGGTGACACACCGTAGCAAGCATATTATCATTTGTAGCGCTGTAGCCTACTAATTGGAGGATGCATCGAAAAGCCAATAACACTAAACAAATAAGCAGCAGTCAGTACAGAGTCTAATACAGTACAATACAACTGAGTTTTAGGTCGTGGCCTCAACCTGTTAGGTCAAAACTGTGCGCACAATAGCTGATGTTGGAGAAGTGCAGCCATGCTGAGCTCCCTCGTAACGCAAACCCTGGTCTAAAACTAGTAGGGAAGGAGTTACATATTAGAATGATGCCTTGTTGTTATTTATTTAGTTCGATGTGCATTTACGTTGGAAAACTGTCAATAATTGCAAATGAGAACTGAAATAAATCCTCCTCCTGCTATCACCCATGGCATGCTGCAGAACCTTGACATGAAGATGGTATAAACTCGACGACGATTGCAGCTTCATAAAGTTTTTATGGCAAATAAAGAACATGTTTTGTCGGGATTGGGAATGAAGCTCATTCAACAGTATTAATGTGAGGGAATTAATTCAGTTTCTAAGGGGACTAATTACTATTTTTAAGGAATGTTTTATTAAAAAATGTGGCCAAGCTATGCAGAAGTACCACAATGCGAACTTCGCTGAATGTCTCCTCCTTTGTGTTTCAGGTGAAAACGCAGGAGGCTTCTGTGAGCTCGCCTTCTCTCCTGGTTGGGGTGTCATGAGGCCCTGGACTTCCTCCATCTCCTCTTCCTCTGCTGTCCTGGGACCGGCTCACCACCAGCGCCCCCTGCAGCCAGCCTTCCGGTAGTGCACCAGCCCCGTGATCCTTTTCATCATCATAATCATCATCATTTCAAGCCGAAAATGCTGGAAATTCTGGCTCTCTTATCGGCTGGAGAAACATTTCAGTTGAGTGGCGCCTTTCTGAGTGCTGATGAATGTTGGCGCTGGTCGACTCCTGCTCGTTGAAGATGAGTTTATGAATGTGAATGATTTATAATGGTTTTATTGTTGGTGTAATGTGTGTAACTGTTATGAGGGGCTTTTGTTGAGGACATCAACTGAAGTGTTTTCTCTCATTTATATGAGACCAGTCTGAGTTTGGCTGAAGTTGGCTTCTGATTCATAGCTTCTGATTAAGTCTTTCCCACCTCATTTTCAGAAATCCGGGTCAGTTTAATCCAAGTCTAGCAGTTTTTGTGGTCTGGGCAGATGAAAAATGTCGATGATACCTAATTTCAGTCTGTAATATAGCAACCACATGAGAAGAAATATTCTCTGTTAGCTTATAATCATAAGCTCCCATTCAGAAGCCATTTTCAGTCTTGTACTTTAACAGGGATTCAAGAAACAAAACTCCACGTGATGCCAGCAGGAAAGGGGCTTTGAAAAAGCCAAAACCGTGACCTGGTGAGGCTGCTGTTTGTAGTTAGTATGTAGAGTAGTCGCATGTGGTTTGAGCAGCTTGTGGAACCAAAGCCATACTCTCTGACGGTACAGTAGATATATCTTTTTGTTTTGTCCTAATTGTACAATAAAATTGGCATAAAAATGGCCATCTACTGATAACATGTGGAAAATACTACAGAACTACTAATAGGCACTTTGGTCAAATAGCTGGTAGATGATGTTCTTGTGCATTTACTCACAAATAAAACACCAATTTAGGAATTTTTCCTCATCGTCCCTAAACTCCAGAGCGTTTCAGTTAGTTCACTTCAGATGTTTAAAAAAGTATAAATGGGTCCAACCCAGTTTTTCCTGCTGAAACAGTAACCCGTGCAGCATCAGTGTTAATAAAACAGTACATGTTACAGACCGCACTCATCGAGCTGTTCAGCAGGTTTGGGCAACGCATCTGTTTAACATGAAAGAAATTTCTTTCTTTTTTTTAGTGCGTGATGACATCTCATTTTTGTAACCCAAAAAATGGACCACACTTTTAGCTTTTATTTTTATTTTCAATACAGCTTTTGTTGTTTTGTTTTTTTTCTTTTTTGCTAAATTTGTTAAGCTTTTTATGTTTGAATTTCCCTCAAGATGACAATCACTTTTTAAAAATATCAATCGTCTAGGAATCTAAAGTTCATCAAAACTTCGGTCACTGTGAAAAAGAACTTTTCTGAAATTGGGTATTTCGCTCTGGCTTCTCCACATTTAATTTATTTGTGAGTTTTTCTTGATTTCCCTGTATAGTAGGTTAGCCGTTCCTTTACGTGCATGAACTGTGGCTTCACTGGCCTCTAATACTTTTTACTGAAATATGCAATTTTTGGGTTACTGTGCAATAATAGCCTGTTGTGTTTGCTTTTTGTTGGTGTTTTAGGCCTGGGTTTTAAAGTGCCATGTCATCTGTTTTTAGCTGTGAAGCTGAATTGATTTAAACAAACTTGACTTTTGGATGAATATGTCCAGTTTTTTGACAATCACCATGAATGCAGCAGTTTTAATGGCCTTGTTTTTTGGCTTAATATGAATCAGAGTTTTATAAACATGGAAAAAAAGGCAACACCATAGAAGAGCACCGTAATGATATATTTAAAAAGCAATAAGATCAACCAAAGTGAACAACTTGAGTGTTGTCAGATCAGGTGTAACATGATCAAGTTTGAATATTGTTTTGTGTGTAATTCCCCAGAAAGGTCAAAGGTCAAACTTAGTGTCTTTCTTAGTGTCTGTGTGGTTTTAGAAACCACATCTCATGTATGTACATATTAAAGGGATGGTGTGTACATCAATGCAAGTTTGTTTTTTTTGTCGTTGTCGCTGTTCGACAAAGACCAGCTGTATTTCTATGCATGTTCTCTTCGTTGAAAATGTTTTGGGGTAAAAAAAAAATTAAGAAGAAAGATCCTTTTTCAATAAAAGGGGAGAAAACAACATCGGTCTTGTTTGTCGTCTTTCTTGGATCAACCAAACAAACACAAAGCAACACTTCAGGTTACAAATTGCAAAGAATGCTGACTTATTTATATTAGTTGTCACTGTGAAGAAATGATTTAAATATAGTGTAGCACACAGCCTATAGTGAAATGTAACTTAGATCTTAAAAGATACGGTGGTCTGATCACTAAATATATTATACTGTATAGATAATTAAACACACTGGATGTTCGGGATGAATCATAAATACATCATAAATATTATCAGGTGTTTTATTGTTTCACCATCATAATAACTGCAGGATTTTACTTATTCCCTTAAATTAAAAATTAAGATAATTAAGGCAGGTAAAATTTCTGAAAATATTGCAGAAATAAGTTAAAAACATATTCAAGGCATGTTTTATTGTCTTTCAGCAGGTGGCAGCAGACTCCAACAAAGCTAATAAACTAAAACCAACACACACGCACACACACACACACACACACACACACACACGCGCGCGCGCGCACACACAAACACAGGTATTCAACACAAATGGTTTTTACATATTTCTGGCATGTGGTGAGCACAGACTGTATATAACAAGGTGGTGAGTTTGCTGTGTCAGCAGGTGAAGCTGAAACCAAAGACCGGAAGAAAATTAGTGCGCCTTCGAAATAAAATCTGTGACCCTTACAAATTGCAAAGACGTCAATATAAATTTATGTGAAACATGATGATAACGTGCACTACCTTTTGATTTTATTCTTTTTAAATAAAAGATCGAATACTTCTTGATTTTTATTATTTCATTCTTAAATTTAAATTGAATTTAATGCATTTTTGTATATTTTATTTATTGTATAACAAGTTTTTTTTTTATGTGAAGCACACTGAGTCTGTGTGTGCTATTTAAATAAAGTTTCCTACATGAAAATCTATCTATCTATGCATCTTTAACATTCAAATTGCATTTCCTACACATCTCATTAAAAGGAAAGGTACAATCATCTTTCTGAAAATCCTCTTTCGCAAAGTAGATGGATGTCTTTCCCTCACAAAAGGTTTTCAATCTGTTTCCAAGTTCTGTTTGTAGCAATTTGAGTGGCTGTTGATATTGTATACTGTTTACAATAATACAATAATAGACTAATTTGCAAAAAGATCTCTAATTAGAAACGTGTATATGAGCTGATAAATTTAAGACTGTCATAAAGAATATGGTGATTGAGGCATGTCGTTGTTTTTCTTGTGAGGCTATTGTGTTTTCAAAGTTGTGCTTTTTGTTAGCATTTTATGTTTTATTGTGACATTTGTGTTGCATTTTCATATGCTGTGTTCATGTACGGCTGCTACCTTGGCCAGGTCTCTCTTGTAAATATATATTTGATCTCAATGGGACTTCCTGGTAAAATAAAAATAAATAAATAATAAAAATAAAATTCTAAAAAAAAACTATGCTTTTATTTTCGTTCAACTCAACCGGATGTTGTATTCTCGTTCTCGCTAGCTTGACAGCCGGTGACCGGAGTCAGTGAGTCAGGAAACAAGCCGAACCGTGCCGCGCCGGGGTTAGACAGAGAGCTCGACCCGGTGTCTCCACACACACAGAGCCGTAGCCTTTATCTGAGGATGGAAGGACAAGCGAAGGGGACATTCACTGTCGGATAAATCACCGAGACGGAGAAAACGCACAGAATTCAGGCGGGAATCATCTGAAACCGCCCGTTAGGAGTGAGACGGACCTGCCTGGGTGTTACGGTGATTCTGGGCAGGTAAACGTTAGCAGGTAGCCCGGCTAGCTAGTCACGCAGCAGGGAGCTAGCCCACAGGTAGCTAGCAGCAAGCGTTTTAACTAACTAATTAACGAGTTAGGGTGGATGAACTGTTGCCAGACCCCAAAACGACATCTTAGCACGGGTGATTTTTACCTTTCTAATTACCAGCTGCCTTTGTAAACGACTCTAAACTCCCCTTTGTTATTGTCTTTTTTTTTTTTTTTAAGGAGAAACTAGTGGTTGCTAGAGCTGAAGGGTTGATTGACAGCTTGTCACAACCGGTTTTCCAGATGTGGACTCGGCACGTTTTGGATTAGCTTGCCCGGAGCCGCAGGACTGGCTGCGGACCAGGAATGGCCTGGCTGCAACAAACTCTTGAGTGGACTCGACTCTAAACTGCTTCAACAAGCGATGGACTGACACGTTAAGCTAGTCAGTTTAGGGAAAGGTCATTCAGCCGTAAATTTAAAAAAAAAGACAGGCTGTCAGCTGGGTCACAAACACACACGAGGGAGTGTTTTTACAGGGAAGTGGAAGAAGATGCACAGGACGGAAAACAAGAACAAGAGGAAACTCTGTAACATGGAGCAGCTTCAGAGGGAAGAGAAGGATGCGGTGAGTACTGAAGTCATGCAGGCAGTGTGTCACTATGAGGTGATAAAGTTGTGCAAGTTGGTGTCCTTGATCCGCAATGAGCCTGCAAGGCCACGCACTGGGCAGTATTTATGACCTGTGTTTAAATGTTTTGCTCCATTTATATTATAACAAGTCATGTGTTCATTAGGAGTCCAGGAGTATTTCTAGTAAGGGTGGCTTTCTAATATTAAATAACATTAGAATTGCTCATATAAGGTTTATTAGAAGGCAAGGCAGAAATGTATAGCACATTTCAGCAACAAGGCAATTCAAAGGTCTTTACATAAAACATAAAAGAAACAGGCAAATAAACAAAGAGTTAAATAGAAACTAGGTGAAACAATTTGTTCACCCGTAATTGTAATGGGTTAGGGTTTTAATCAAGCTTTTAACCTTCTGTTGTTTGCTTATTATGTCACCAGGCAGACCTCCCACGGTATTTCCTCTTATTCAGGATCGTCACCGTGAATCCAGATTGTTTGCGCAGCTACAATCTTGGTAAAAGCGAACAAAAACAGCAGCCGAGAAAGCTTCAGAACTCAGAACAGCCTGAAAACACCCAGTCACACGTCAGTATAATAACTTTACAGGCTGCTGATTTATGGTAATGGAAAAGCGTTATAAACTGGGCGCTTTGTGTGCACACATTTTATTCAACAATTAAAGGAATAAAATAAAAACCTGCTGAGACAAACAGCATGTGTGTGAGTCACCTTTTAGGGAAATATCAAAAAGCGATTGCTTAGTTTCTACTTTCATGACTGCAGCTGAGATGATGATCACATTCAGTGTGTTTATATATGCAGCCTACCTGGATGCTGTCCGTCTTTCTGAAAGACACCAGTCAGTAAAACATGTCTGGGTGTTTCTGGGGATTCTCCTTTCTCTGTTCCTGCAGCTCTGCATGGATTTTTTTCTTGCGATTGACCAAATTAATGTTTGTTTTTTTTACTCCGTGGTTGTGGACGCTCAATGCTGGATACTGTGGCCAGGTGTATGAATGGTATGTGTGTGTGTGGTGGGTTGCTTAGGGAAACAAATGCAATGCAGGGCACTGGGTGGAAGGTCTAAAGTGTACTAAGACACCCTATCGCTGAAACGATGATGCGTTTATGTGATATAGCAGTTATTTTAGGAAGGGGGGGAGCCTGCATTGGTATCTGTCCTCCTCCTGTGAAAATGGATAAACATTTTAATATTGTTAAAATTAAAAGTTTTGAGAGATGCAGGTATCTCAGTATCTCAACACTTTTGCCATCAATCCGCCCGCCCGTTCTTTTTTGTGTCAGGCAACATCAGCCTTGTCTTAAATATCGCTTCTTAACAGAATTCTATGTTAGCTCTCCTAACAAGATGTTCAGGTCGACGTGCGCACTGCTGATGCATCGTGCTTCTAATTGAATCCAGCTAGTTGATTCAGTATCGGGCCGAAATCTGATATCGGATCGGTGCATCCCTAAAAAAAAAAAAATCATACACCTGCATCACTCTGCTTCCTGTTTATCTACACAACATTCGCTATGACCCTCTTTGAAAACAACCTGTAGCTGCGTGCAGGACTGAAAGGAATCAGTATCAATGGCTGCTTGTTTGAAACGCTATTCGGGCATCTCACACGTGTTTTAATTGTAAAAATTTAGATTTTATTTGTCTTAGTTTGCAATAAACATGGACACGGTTCTTAAAATAATGAAAGCTACTTCCAAAGATGTAGTCATAGCTGCAGCTCATAGATTCACATTTCTGCATGAAGTCATGTTCCTCTTGGTTCTCCAGACGCTCGATATGACTGACTCTTGTCATGCAATATTACCGCACCACCCCTGCCTTTAGGGACATCATGCGAGTTACGAGATGAAATGTAGTCCGACTGTTTAGATTTGCACCAGACTGTCACGTTTTATAACCATTTCTTGTTACTAAGATCAAATTAACGGGACGGTTTAGACGTTTAACGACGAGGTCTGAGTCGGGGGAGGGAGGTGTTGACTTAGAGGCTTTATGGCATCGTGGGAAGTCGGACAGATGTTTTTGAGCTGCTGCTGTTTTTATAGTTTTTTTTGGGTGAAACCATATAAACCAGACAGGGAGTTTTCATCCTGTACGACTTATTTTCTTTTGCTTACGCTCTGGAATGCTGGGTAATAATTCATGTCCCTGTTGTGGTGCTGTAATGCTTCCCAGGGCCGCCAGCTTGGATTTATCTGTTAATCTGTGAAAAAAATATGGCTGTTATTTTCAAAATCAGTTAATCTATTGATTATGTTTTCCATCAAACAGCCCGTGGAGACGTCCTTGAATGTTTTGCTTTGTCCAAACAATGATACAAAGCCAATCCTCACAGTTTAGAAGCTGGAACCAGAGAATAATCTGTATTTTTTGCGGATGCCTTAAACAGTTAATCAGCTGTAAATTATTGATAAATCTTATGCCTGTTGAGTAATTGTTTTTGAACCAAACCGGATATTGTTGGATAATGTTGCAGGTATTGTAGACCAGTCATCAGCATCCCTTCTGCATGTTTGCAGAAAAACATCAAGTCTATTCCTTGTAAACAGAACCTGCTGCCAACTTGACTTTAATTGCAGATACGTTTTTACCAT